CAGTTTTATTGATATTGTGGGAGAGTGGAACAGCGATATCAATTATGAGGGCATTTTTTTTTCTTTGTCTATAAGAACGATATCGGGTTTATTGTAGTCCACTGTTCTATCCGTTGTAATAGGTCTATCCCCGTACAGTACAGCTCTGCCATGTTCGAGTACAGCCGAGGGCTGGTATTTATAATAAGGTTGGTATGTTTCTAGAAGGCCATACGTTAAGGCTAGTTGTAGGTGGATAATTTTAGTAAGTTGGTTATGACGGATCAAATATGCGCTCTTCCTGAGAACAGGGCACCCGGCAATAATATGTTCGATTGATTCTCCAACTGAGCCACATTTTCTGCAGTTGTCCTCCACGTTGAGTTTGAGGCAGTGTTTTTCATAATTGCGGGTTCTCACGACTCTGTCTTGAATAGCCTTCAGTCTCTGGATATAGATATCCAGCGTTCAACCAAGCCAGCGAGGCTTATTATTATTATTAATATTATAATTATTTTTATCATGGTTCTCTGCAAACAACCTAGTCCGTAACCAACAAAAAACTGAAGAAATTACGTTCTTTTGTAGCAAAATAGACTTTCTTCATCCAGATAATATTATGCTACTGGGATTTGTTATTGACAAATTGACAGATCGACAAAGTCTGCGCCACATTGTCCCGTCGTTTGTTCCTGTTAAGGCATCTCAGCCACTATCTAACTAGGTTGGCCCTAAGAACGGCTGCTGCTGCACAGTGTATTGTCTTACGGTGTTGCATTGTGGAGTAAGATACTTTCGTTTGCAAAAGAAGGCCATGCGGCTACTTAGCGGCGCTGGTCCGCGTGAACACCGCTGACCCATCTTCGGAGATTTGGAGATAATGACGCTGCCCTCGGCCAACATACAGCTCTGTTTTATACGTTCATGATAATGCTGATTCTTATAGTACACAAACTAGTAGGCATGAGTATAACACCAGGCAAGCTGACTCGATCGCCCTACCGTACTCCAGACTCACGTCCTCGCAAACTAATAATATCAACGTTAAGTTATACAATATTCTCTACCAACCAGACAATTTTAGCAGAAAATGATATTTTTTTTTATAGAAAGTCCCTTTATGGCGCCGATAAATCTTTTGAGCTGCTTAAGCATACGAGTATTGAGTAATTTGTGACTTTGTTATCTATAAGTTTACTTTCCACCTTATGTATTATTTACATCTTATCTATTTTCTAGAACTATTTTGTATAATTTAGTGCAATTTGTTTGTACTTTATTAACGTTTATTTTATATATTTTTTCCACTGCGATAACTATTGCAATTGACGTACCATTTGTTGTTTGTATGACTTATCTGAATGGTTAATAAAGTTCCATTCTATTCAATATTATCATAATTATATTATTATTATTATTATTATTATTATATATTTTTGGTAACCACTTTTTGTTTAGATTTTGTGGTCCATAAATTTAAGTGACAATTTTTTGGGAAATTAGAACGTCCAGGTTAATATTAATATCTTATTACCATCGTGTCCAAAAATGTGTTATTCCAATGCAATTGCAAACTGTAAATATGATTTGAATGAATTGAATGACTTTAAGACAAAGTTTTATGATCTACTCGAACTGCAGTCGAAATAGTATCGTAATAAATGAAAAAAAGGGGGCTCGCCGGCTTATTTTTGTAATTTGGTTACCAAAATTTCGTCGGAAACCGACAAGAAAAAAAGACAACTTGAAAGTGATAACCTGAAATGTGAATTGTATAACCAGATAAAGTAAACATAATATAATAAAATATAATAAATAAAATCAAGGAGCAACTACACTACAACTACAAAAAAACGGGAAGAAGAAATTAAAATTAAATAATATGAAGACATTAATGAACGCATTGTCTTAGCAAAATTGCACCTGAAGAGGGTAAGACAACCGAATCAAAAATGTTTTATAAACAATTTTAAACACTTATAGACAAATATCATACAACAAATCAAATAATCATAAGGAGTGGTTTAAATATAAGGAAGGGTGTTTGCAACGAAAATAAAAAGTCTTTGAGCAGTAAGAGTAATATTTGAGCGCGTAGAAGAAGGACAGATGGGGTTTAGGAAAGGACGATCAACAAAAGACAATATACAATTAATAGAAATGCGTAATGAGCTTAACAGAGTAACTCATCATAATCTAAATTTGGCAGAGCTATGGGAAAATACAGAAACAGTGATAACCACCGGTACGAAAATAATTAATCTCATAAAAACAAATAAAGACGTGAGGCAAAACTCTATAATATTTATTTTGACGAACCTTATTAAAAAATGGAAATCGAGTGACAAAACAATGCAGAAGATTTGACTTTTATACGAGAAAGTGAAGATGATATACAAAGAACTGCATACAGACTACAACAATTATTTGGTCCCTATTGTTTAAAAATTTCAACAGGGAAAACAAAAATTATGGATTCTATAAGAACTCAGCAACATTTTCCCAAAAATCATAAAGTTTGGAAACAAGAAGAGTTTTGAGAGACTATTTTGCTTCCTACAGTATGCTTTGATAACCTGGATCATTTAGATAGGTCAAGAATAATTATTAAAATTTCAAAAGTAATTATTATTATGAATAAAATTATTAAGAAAGATTAGTTGACCACACTACGTACTGCAAAAATAAATGTCTTCTCTTAACATTAATTACCAGTTTTTCTTTATCCACCACATCAGTTTCAGCATCGATGTTATTGGTTTAGCAAAAATTATATACTATTTACAAATCTTCTGGATGCCTAGTGTTTCAGTTGTTTAAAAATCAAATTTCCTGTTGACTTCTTCAGATTTTAACTGAAACTGGGCGGCATTCTATTCTGTACCTGCTTATATACTATTTGGAGGGAGATGTCTGATATTGGTGAAAGGTAGGCCTAGTCGCGGTTAGGATTGTTTGAAGAATTGATTGCAAACAAGAATTTTGGCCTCTTTTTACAAAACTTCTGGATTCCAGAAGTTTCGTAAAAAGCATTACAGTAGCCGGTGGAAGTTTCTTTGAAAAATTTTGAACTCATCGAATGACAAAACTGGGATCCGCATACAGAGAAATACGACACTCAATATAATTGTATATGCAGAAAATCTGACTTTTATACGAGATGTGAGTGAAAGACACTGCATATAGACTATAACAACTATGTGGTCAATATTGTTTCAAAATTTTAACAGCGAAAACAAAAACTGTGGATTTTATAGGACGACAGCAATGTTTTCCCAAAAATAATAAAGTTTGGAAAAAAAGAAGACTTTCAATAACTTTTCTTATTATAAGAACTGAATAAATTGGTCAATATACGAGGTGTATTTCAAAAGTAAGGTGACATTTAGATTTTATCAAAAAGTAGTTATCAAATTTAATTAATGTTGTCTCCTTCAAAGTAATCCCCCGCACTTGTACCAATGTTTTTTCCAATCCTCGAAACACTTTCTGGTGTAGCCTTGAGTCAGACACAAGCAACGTTGAGTGAGCTGGAGCATTTTCGTGATGCAAAATCCATGAATTCTTTTCCCACAATTCCCGACGTTTTCCTCGTATTGCTTCTCGGAAACGGCGTAAAGCTTTCTTCACTCCTCATGTACTGCGCCACGATAATCAAAGAAAACAATAAGCAAACCATTGACATTTGATCGAACTTGACGTTCCTTTTTCGATCCTGGGGATTCTGGGCTTTGGTTTCCATGTTATTACTATATACCTATGATTCGTCACCACTTGTGTGACTTTTTTGAGCATATCAGTATCATCATTGGTGTCGTTTAACAGCTCTTGAGCGATGCTTCATTGACGGTCCATTTGTTCAAACTTAAGCACTTTCGGAACAAATTTTGAAAAAAAATTTTTTTTTTTAAATTGCATGGCAAGAGCCAATAAAGATGCCGACGTCTTCAGCCACTCCTCTAATAGGGATTCGACGATTATTCAAACCATTTGTTTCACTTCTGGCGTGCTGGGTGCGAGGTTTGTCATCGGCGACTTTTCGGTCATTTTGGAACAGCCTGTACCACTTATAAACATTTTTATGCTCAAAGTAGATTCACCATATGTAAATTAAATATAAATATTTTATGTAAATTTCTTTTTTCCATTTTTTTGACTGCGGAGAATCGCCAAGCACACAAAACACGTGTAACGCTTCTGTCTCACAAAAAAAGTAAACATGCAAACTGGCTGAAACTGTGTTTTAGGGACTTGTGTACCAACATACCCAAAAAAAAAATCGAAGATCGAATGTACATACCCCGCCCAATTACAACAGTCACTTTACTCTTTGAATACACCTCGTATGCGGGACAATCACAAGAACGTTGAAGAACAGGAAAGAGACACAATTAAAATTCTACATAGCAATAATCGACTTTAAAGTAAGCTACAGACAAAGAGAAAAAAAGAAGGCGGGTTCTAGGTTCAAGGAGTGAAATATTTTAGAAGAGTCAAAGACTGTAGAAAATGAGACCAAATAAGAAATGAAAACATCAGAAAAGAGTTAACATATATGGGCCAAAAGAAAAGATCAAAAATAATAAAAAAAGGCCATGCAAACAGGATGAGGCCGCCTAGAAGATGGATACCGTAATTAATACCTTCAGTGGAGATGATAAGATGACCTCGTTAACTTTTTCTATTTCCAACCACCTTCTGGTATTATTGCTTATAGGCCCTGTGTGTCAACCGATCACTACCATTCAAACTAAAATTCAGTGATACGTCGACATTATTAATTAACTCTCTTAAGCCCTATATAATATTAAAATATTAAAATACATTAAATTAAAATTGTAAAATCATGTCTCTACTATCAAAACTGTCATATATATTTTTTTTAATTTGGCATAATTAGGATAAACATCTTTTGCGACAAATAATAAATTGCGGTTTCTAATCGAACAATTTGTCACTTTTTTTGCCGCGTAATTTACACCGTCGTTAACCTTCGCTGGAATGTATTTTCCCGCCATTCCGGAAGCTGTATAAATATAAATAATTACGTCCATAGCGTAACGCGATAGTTTTGTTCAAAAATGTGTTTTTTTAAAGAGGCGAATATTGTCTATATCGGCTGTTTTATTGTTGCGTTGAGTGTAAATATATTAACCAAGCTGTAGTTCTTTCCAAAATCACTTTTCGTTTTAAGCTGGCTCAAGATTTGATCGTCGACCTTCCCGATGGAACAATTCGAGGATCCGAGATCACCTTCCAGGACAAGCGTTATTACGCTTATAGAGGAATTCCTTTTGCAGCTCCACCGATCGGAAAACTAAGGTTTCAGGTAAAGCAACAAATGGATATTAGTGCTGAACGGTATTATTGCAGACGTCCGATATTTCGCATCTATTTTTCAGATTTAGATCCTTACCTGAGTCGGTGTTTTTTATCATAATTTTCCTCATCCCGTGTGTGGTTGGAGAAATATCAAAAATATTTTTTCGCTTTAAGTAATTGAATTGGATATTTTAAGTTTCAATAGATTCTTCCAAGATTAGAAAATACGAGCTAAATGTTAGCGTGCCTTGCTCAGTCCGAATTTCTTCATGAAAATCAGTCCGGAAATGATAAAATAACACTTGGGACGTATTAGAAAACCCCAGTTAAATAAGCTGATTTTTCAATCGCTTAAAGCTTAAATCTGAAAAATAATTTAACCTTTTTTAAATCGCATATGCAAGACAAACAAACCCATGGGTCGAATTTTCTGATAATGCAAAAAAAAAATCTGCAGCTCTTTTTCTTTTACTTTAATTCCTTATTAGGGCTCTGGTAAGTAACTGGCAGAAAGCGGTTTGGTCAATAATTTATGACGTATGAATTCATATTTACTATGTTTTACTTAAGTCGAAATAAATTAGCATAATTTATGATCTTTGTTTGTTTGTTTTTGGGGGGGGGGGGGGGGGAGCTAAAAGCATTGCCTCAAATGACTGATGTTGGTGAAAGGTAGACCCGGTGGCGGTTAAGATTGTTTGAAGAATTTTAGTTTTATCGAATAAGATTTGATGTTCGGTTTCATAATTGTGTTCGGCAACTGCTGATAAGTTTATTTGTCGTAGTCTTCAGTTATATTGGTTTAGGATTTCGCGGCCCGTTGATAAGCTATTATCTTGATTGGGGTTTAAAGACCGTCGTCGGTTGGAATTACTTCCTAACGTTTCGCTAGTACGAGTGGCGAGCTTCTTCAGAGGTCCTTCCATCTCCGATGTTGGACGTAAACTGACGATAAATACAACGTGCGCAGGAGAAATCGTCAGTCTACGTCCAACATCGGAGATGGAAGGACCTCTGAAGAAGCTCGCCACTCATGCTAGCGAAACGTTAGGAAGTAATTCCAACCGACGACGGCCTTTAAACCCGAATCAAGATAATAGCTTGTCTTCAGTTATGTTCTTGTAATGTATTCATTCTTTGCCGCACATGCATGCAATGCTGTAAATTCCTTGGATCTGAAGCGGACCGAAGGTATTGAGAAATTTTTGGACTAGCACTAAATCTGATTGTGACGTTATATTTCTTGAGGACTTTTGATATGTGGTCAGTAATTTTTTCAATGTAAAGTAGGACAACAGTGGCAAGTGTGGTTTTGCTTTCTCACTCATTCTCTTTGGAAGGTTATGTATTTTGAAATAGAACGTTCTATATCTCTAATGGTGAAATTATTAGAGAGAAGAGCAGATATAACGTGTTTTAATTCTGGATTAAGTGACTCGGATTGAGATAGTTTTACGGCTTTGCAAAAAAAAACTTGATAACCGAAAACCTACACAAAAACATACATTGTAGATCTTTTGATAAGTATATCTAAGAATGAAAGATTATCTAATTTAATAGTAGTAGTTTAATTTAATTTAATAGTAGTAATTTTTAAATGACTTAAATGTTTAAATGACTATGAGTTTAAATGACTAAGAAAATCTGGAAAGGATTCTTGACCATGAGTTCAATTAACAAAAGTATCATTATACGCTTTCATAATTTTTGTTTTGGATGGAAGGTGTAAAGGACGTTCTTTTCATAGGCTTCCATATATATATTCGGGTTCACTTGTGATAAGGGAAAACTCATAGCTGTTCCCGACGCTTGACGTAGTTAGTTCCGTAGCAAGGGCTGCGATTTGGTGTGAACCTGCTAGATTGTCAACTCTGAACGTAAAAATGAACTGGTTAGATCGAATCAAAATTTAATTACTTTTAACGTGAAAAAAGAGCTTTCAAAGGATAGTTCACGTCCCATATTATGCAAAACGGATATAAGAAAAATATGGCCATTGTTTGGATACCGAAATATAAAAGTTCGTTTTCAAACACAATGTTACTTCTCAAGAGAGCTAAAGCTTAAGCTTCGTCTTGTATTTGACAGACGTGATAATTTTTGTTCTCAGAGTCCGGTACCGCCTAACCCGTGGGATGGCATCTTGGAGGCCAACGAAACACAACGCTGTTGTATATCCATGTCACCAGATAACCAGATGAGTGAAGATTGTTTGTACCTGAATGTATACACTCCTGCAAGAAAGGCAAGTACGAATTGCTCTGAACAGTATACAGGATGTATCATAGTGATCGGAACATCCGATTTTTTGGGAAAAGCAGAACGGATTAAATTGGCTAAATGTTTGGTCAGAGGTTTTTGATGGATCCAAAGTATTTTCAGTGTTGCAATACTGCTGTTTGCATCAAAAAGTACCGACAACTTTGATTTTTCCACCAACATATCATTTCATTTTTTACTCTGTTCTTACTTGCTGATACCCATCTCTGGAGATTGCAAGATACTTGTTTAGGTACATATTTTTTGACAGAAAGAGCTCCAAGTTAAAATTATTATTGCTGGGATAAAGTGAATATTAAGCTGCAATTCTGACTGAAATTTGCCAGTATCCTGAGTACTGCTTTCTTTTGGAGTAGTAACTTATGCGATATACCGGGTAATTCAAGCTTCCCCCCCTTAAGAAAAATAAAACTGCAAATGCAACTTCAGCAGAGGGGATTTGGCATATCAATGTAAGGTTCCACAAAGTTTCCATTCTTGAAGAATATATTTTTTAAACCCTCTTTAAAAACGTTTTTTTCTATCTTAATTCGGTTGAAAGCTATGGGACTCTAGAGTTGCACATCAGTTGTTTTCAAAGACAATTGCTTTTTAACGGTTAAATTCAACAGAAACAACAAGAATGAAGTAAGAATTACTATTATTAAAATTCAAATTTTTTGGTTCGAATTCTGAACTGCCATAGAGTTTTTCAAATTACGCCCAACTTTAATTTCAGTAACACTTTCTGATATGTCCTTGTCCCGTCCTTTATAAGCCCTGTTTTTAGGTGTTTCTCAAATATCAAAATCTAATGGTGTTAAGTCGGAAGATTTTGAGGGCCATTTGTTTCAAAACCGTTATTAAAAACTGCTGGACCTGTCTGGCTAAGCAGGGTGTGTACTGCAGTAGCAGTACACACCCTGCTTAGCAGTACACAGTTTTATTTCTAATATTGTATATAAAGATCTTGTTCTCCTGATTTCAAAAATATATAGATTGTTAATATTTGAATAAACCGTTCTTGATTTATTCAAGTATCAATTTTTGATTAACAAGAGAGATGTTGATCGAGCTGGCCAAGCGTTTAGTGTGGCGTATTGTGCCGCTTCACTTTAAATCGAAACGTTTAGTTAGGAAAATGGAAGACAATCGTCAAGTAGTTCTTCTTTTATATTCCAATAATAATAAAATAGCTGCAGTTCAACGGCAATATCGTCAGATTAACCCTGGGCGACTAGTACCGTCAGCTGACACAATCAAACGCGTTATTCGCTAATTTAATGAAACTAAAAGTCGAAAAAAAAAAGAACCGTTGTTAGAAATGAAGATGACATCATGAATAGTTTGCTATTTTTATGAGTAATAATTAAAAATTAAATAAATTTATGTAACATTTAGAAAATCCCAAAAGTTTTATCTCAATTTACTCTAGTTCAAGGCCTATTTGAAGGAAATAAAATTCAACGGTTATATTTTAAAGCAATTTTGGAGGCATATAACAGAGGATCCTGATTTTTGGGGAAAAATTATATCTACTGATGAAAGATAAGAATTATTGGACAAATGTCAAAATGTCAAAATGACAAAATATCATCCGTTCGCTCGTTGGACTCCGACTGGAATCCTGCAGACGTTTCGCCAAAATCTCACTTGGCATCTTCAATGCTCGCGCGAGCATTGAAGATGAATGATGATGAATTTATATATATATATATATATATATATATATATATATATATATATATATATATATATAAATATATATATATATATATATATATATATATATATATATATATATATATATATATATATATATATATATATATATATATATATATATATATATATATATATATATATATATATATATATATATATATATATATATATATATATATATATATATATATATATATATATATATATATATATATATATATATATATATATATATATATATATATATATATATATATATATATATATATATATATATATATATATATATATATATATATATATATATATATATATATATATATATAATATAAATAAATAATAAAATATATGATCCTTGGATAGACAGACAGAGCACAATTTAGTGGCCGGCTGGAAGTCAGGATTTAAATCCTCTTCATATTTTCCTATTGGGATTTTTAAAAAGCCGAGTATACAATGACAAAAAATACGAGTATTTCGCCAAAGGAATGAACAATAAATATTCAATGCTCAATAGAAATCATCCATACTATTTTTGAATACGAATGAATATTAGAAAATGTCTCTGAAATCATTGTGGATTATGTTCTTTTAGTATTATTGGTTAATGATTACTTATTAAAATATAAAAGACGAATTACTTGAAGCTTTTCTTACTCTGAGTAACCCTGGTCAACTTGATTAACATCTATCTAGTTAATCAAAAAATTACACTTTATTAATTTAACTTATATATTTTTGAAAACAGGATGAAAAGATATTTAGTCGTAGCAAAAATTATATATCGTATTCCATTTCAAAATTAAAAATTTGCCACTGTTTCTCAACTTTACGATGCGCATTTGTTGTGAGTATGCAAATATAAAAAATAACGTTGTACAAGAATGTTTTCTGGAGTAGAAAGCTAGTCGCCGACTTCAATCTTCTCAGTTCCTACAATTGTAGAGCTGCTCCCCTGGGCTCGAGCCTTAACCTCGACTGTCAAGTGGAACGCTCAAGTCTTTGGACGACCTCAGTCGACGCAGCCGAACCTGTTCCAAAGGAAGATCTCTGTTAGAAAGAACCCCTTTTGCACTCTCCTTAACACTGTGCATTTTACTGTTTATCTTGGGTTAAAAATTTTCGGGAAGTGTTTCACTAGAGTGAAAAAAGAAGCGTTGAATAGAAGATCCAAGATCCAGTAGACGCTTAATGAAAAATATGTCTTGTCTGATAATAGATTATTAGATGCATTTAAGAGATTTTCCCTCCCCCCACTTTTCCCCATCCAGTAGTATTGCAAACAGATTATTGCCAGTGCCGAGTGATTGAATAATTTGTTGTTGGCAACTTGATTATCAAAGTTGGAGTTTAAAATTTTTTATTAGTTGTAATTGTTTTCAGTATTTAATCCGTCTTCTTCAACACGCCGCACTTCTCGCATTGCAGTTTTTAATTTTTCCGAAATTTCTGATATTTTTTAGATCACCGAGAAACTACCCGTACTGTTCTGGATATACGGTGGTGGTTTCACCATTGGATGCACATCCGACGTTCTAACTGGACCTTTCTATCTCTTAGATGAAGATGTGATAGTCGTGTACGCTAACTATAGGCTGGGATTGTACGGGTTCCTATCCACTGAAGATGATGTAGTTTTGGGCAACGCAGGGCTGAAAGACCAGTTGCTGGCGATGAAGTGGACTAAGAACAATATTGCTCTTTTTGGTGGAGATCCGGAAAAAATAACCATATTTGGCGAAAGTGCAGGCGGTATTTCAGTGGGAGCACATATAGTCAACACAAAATCGGCCGAGCTGTACAGAGCTGCAATTTGCCAGAGCGGCTGTTCGCTGACTTATATTCCAAACGTTTCAACCCAGACTAACGCCCGACAGGCCGCTTACGACTACGCAAAATATGTGGACCCGACGATTTCCGAACAAAACACGACCACTGAAATTCGAGATTTTCTACAAAGCCTACCGGCCAACGTGCTGACTCCGGCATACAGCGCAAATAGTCGTGTAAGAACAAAAACAACCGTACTAAATAGTCGAGCAGTGTGCATTACAATTGTAGTGTATCGTAATCAGTGGCAGCAAACGAAGGAACAAGAGTTTCACAATGTTTATTTTAAGCAAGTTTTATTTAATCGAGCTTCTTAAAAACATTAAAGTTTTCCTTCAAATTATGGCATAATATTCATACCAGGTGGCGCAATACGGTGGCAAAATAGGGAAAATTTGTTTTAATAATTGTTGATTAAAATCAGAAGATAAAAACTCAATAGAAAAGAAACATTTTTAAAATATTTGCATTTATATACAGGGTGTTTCATAAAAGCGTGGAAATTCTTTGGAATACGTTATTATATTTTTGCATAATACGATTCGCCAAAGAAATGCTTATATTCCATTCAAATACGAATACAGTCACAGCCGCAGGAAATGAAACTGACTTCGTAAAATGACACTTTCCACACGCCAGATCGGTGTATAATTGAGTATTTTGAAGAAGGAAGTACAATAATGGGTGTTTTTTTTCGAAGTATAGAATTTTAAGTTGGCATTACTGTTCAAGATGCCGACCGATTTAACAGCTGTCAAGTGTCAGTTTAGTTTGGTAATTCATCAAACGATCATCAAGTAAGGCGTAGATTCGTCGAATGGGCCCAAAACGAGATTGTTGTTCCCGATTTTCATAAGCGAATTTTGTTTAGCGATGAAGCGCACTTCTGGTTGAACGACTATGTCAACAAACAAAACTGCTGCATTTGGAGCGAAGCTAATTCTCAAGTGTATGTCGAAACACCGTTACATCCAGAAAAACTGACTGTTTGGTGCGCTTTATGGGCTGGTGGAATCATTGGTCCTTACTTCTTCAAAAACGATGATAGCCAGAACGTTACAGTCAATGGTGATCGGTATAGAGCTATGATTACTAACTATTTCATTCCTGAATTGAATAACCATGATGTCCAGGAGATGTGGTTTCAACAAGACGGCGCAACATGTCACACAGCTCGTGCCACAATCGATTTATTGAAATACACGTTTGGTGACCGCCTAATTTCACGTTTTGGACCTGTGAATTAGCCTCCAAGATCTTGTGATTTAACACCGCTAGACTACTTTCTGTCGGGCTATGTAAAGTCATTGGTCTATGCGGATAAGCCACAAACGCTTGACTAGTTGGAAGACAATATTCGCCGTGTTATTGCCGATATACGACTGGAATCCTGCATCCGACTGAAATCCTGCAGATGTTTCGTCAAAATCTCACTTGGCATCTTCAATGCGCGCTCAATGCTGCCAAGTGAGATTTTGGCGAAACATCTACAGGATTCCAGTCGGAGTTCAACAAGCGAACGGATGATATCCCGGAATTATTAGAATATTTTCGTTTTTGTTTAGATTCCTTAAGGCTTGCATTTCTTCTCTGCTTAAGTTTGGTTGCGGTGGTTTTGACTGTCTTAAGACTCTGGCGACATCTTGCCTAATTAACTCCGCTACATAGACGAAACAAGATATATATATATATATATATATATATATATATATATATATATATATATATATATATATATATATATATATATATATATATATATATATATATATATATATATATATATATATATATATATATATATATATATATATATATATATATATATATATATATATATAAATTTTATTATTCATTTACAAAAATATGGTAACTTATTGCTGTCTAGTAAGCCCTAGTCCTAAATAAGATGTACATTTACACTTTAAATTTTAAAAGTCGACTTGAAAACAATCAAAAATCACTAATTTACATGAAGTTCTGAAACATATTTTCCCTTACTTAGAAAACACTGTGGCGATATTAACGTAATATTTTAGGATGCACTTGGTTTTCAGCAGCTTTAATTCGCCATAGTAACTCTTCTCGACTGTCTGTGGGTTTACATCCGATGACCGAGCTGGCAAATTTATTGGGCCATCTCGACTAATTATTCACTTGTTTGCAAAATTTTCTTCTAACCAGTTTTTTACACCCTGATCAAAGTCAGGTGTTCCGTCTTGCTGAAAGAACATCTCCAAGCGAGTACGCATGGGAGAATCTTCTAAAAATTCCACCAGATCGTTTGTAAGGATTTAATTTATTTGTTTACAAGCGCCACAGGTAAAACAGGAATAAAATAAAACTAGATTATTTGCTAATAACATATCATTTACAGTGTGTCTTCTGATTGTCATTAGCTACAATTGTTATTTTAGTAAAACAATAATTGCTTTCTAGTTCTGTAAACGGGAACATTAACATTTATTTGTTAAAGTAAATTTAGATCATCAAATTTACTATGAGCTATTTTGTATAGATAAAAAAAATATTTCTCTTAGATCATTCCAGAAATATATTCAAATTATATAAATTAGAGACAGTTGATATACTTTTGATAAAAGCATGTTAAAATACGGATGTCTTTTATGACACCGAGTTATATATATATTTTTATAAATTATACTTTAAAAAATCTCCACAAACGCAGGCAATATAGGGACGTGTCTATAGATTCCTAAATCTGCTTTATTACCTTTTTGAAAATTGGGCATAATTTTACCTCTTTCCAAACATCTGGAAATGTATCTATATGCAAGGCAAGTACAGTAAAGTTAGGGGAGAAGTTGTAGTATTTGCAAAAGCACTTATCCATTTGCAAAAGCATTTAGCCTGTCCTGTCATTATATTCCTTTTGACCAAGTACATTATCTGATGTAGAAACAGTATCTTTCTTGTTTTTCATATGCTCCCACAATGATCTAGAGTCTGCACAGATATCCTCGTGTACTTATCAACATACAAGTTATATGCTATTTTGATATCGCGTTTTGGTTAGTTTAGCTTTAAATTGAGTAAAGTTTCTTTGGCCTTCGATTTTTCCAGACCATTTATATTTAATTTTTAATTTATTCTTATTTTTAATATCTCTTATGATACTGACTAAAAAACACACTGGATATTCTTTCTTCCCGATGCTTTTTGAAATAGAAGTATTAACTGTTTCATATATTTTGCCATAAAAGCATGCAACAGGGTGTAAACCTACCATATAATCAATTTGGAAAATAAATATTAATGATGATATCTACCCAAACATTAAAAGTTGTCGATTGCTGTGAATCCACTGGAAGGGGGATTTTCTCGTCATATGTTTATATAAAAAACTAGGGCTTAATGGAGTATGCTGTTATAGTTTGGCTCACTAATTTCGAGACATCCTGTATTTTTACGAATTTTTTAATTCAAAAGGCACCCTGCGTAGAATGTATCGTTTAAAATTCAAACGACGGTATTTCCGCTCATACTGAAAGTTTGACTTGCCCATTGCCCATTGCCTTACAGTGTCTGAAAATTATTCGTTTGGCACATATTAAGCCACCCAAATTTCAACTCGCTATCTGAGACATTAACCTAATAAATGAATATACAATATCGACAATACCAAAGATTACTTCCTATCGGTGATAAAACTTCGAATGCTGCGCTGCTGCTGCGGGGTGTTTAGGCGCAATTAACAAAATAATGTAATTTTTTATAGACAGGAATATCCATTGAAGTTGAACACGAAGATGCTTACGTCACAAACCTCAGTTTTCCTCTACTCGAGTCTGGAAACTTCAATCAAGTCCCTGTAATAATTGGGACCACATCAGCGGAAACACTCCCTCTGTTTGCTATTCTGGGTGGTAAGTAACAAAAATCGACAAAGCAAATCAGTTACAGTTTCCGCTTTTAACCCTTCCAACGAGTTTAGAACGAAACCTTTTATTTTAACTTTCTTACAAATAGGGTTTTCAATAAGGGCGGGTAGATGACTCTTTAGCCGTCTGAATGAGCAATGATCTCTTTAATGTTCAATGTAAGTGCATCGGTCGATTGTGGTTTCCTTGAATAGCCCTGCGAGTTGAAATACCACCACAAGAGACTAACGCACTCAAATCGCTTGAATTGGCGTCATGAGAAATTGGTTATCGTCGTTTTGTAGCCATCGCCGTTGATGCTGATAATGTCATATTCCTTGTTACGCCAAATATTCATCCATCGCCTCGTCGTTAAATATGATTTTTTATCCAAAATTGGGGTCCTGTTTCAAAACGATTTTGAAGCCCAGTAAGCCAACAAATAGTTTTCATTAAGGAAAATACAAATTTTAAATTGATGGGACGCTTGTGACCCAGTTCCACGTCACAAGTGTTGCTCATAACATGCCTCAAACATGGTTCATACATGATTCTCATGCATTTAAAATAATAAATGGCGGTGCTGGTAGCATTTCAGTAGCATTTCTCAAATCTGCTATTTTTAGCTACTGGACGGAAAATTATTTATTTTGTGAGGCTCCCCACAAAAAGAAATCCAAAATCGGACTAGGAAAAGTGGTTCTAAGATAGGCACCTCAAATTTTTTTCAATAATTTCTAAAATTCTCAATTTTCAAAATTATTTTCAAAATTACAAACTATAAAACTATATTTGGTGCTGTGTGTCACAAGTTCAAATTGTGTGTTTTTAAGGTCGTTTGAACCCGCGATTTAATAATTTCAATAATTTCAACAGAACCTTCCTGCAAGAAATACTTGGAATAATTCGCGTTGAAGCAAATAGTTTTTCTTAGACTGTAAGTTTTTGGGTAAATTTTTGCAAAACAACGCGAATACATTCATTCACATGCCGTCAGAGTTGACATACGTCAAAATTCAAACCGTGCGTTAAAATTTCCGAATACCTCAGATTGCTCTCAAATCCGAATATCCCGGAAATATCCGAAGTGGAGCCACTGGATCCGTAGGATAAGATACTCACGTGGTAAAGTGACGCTTGCCGCACACTAGATCGATATATAATTAGGTATTTTACAGAAGGGAGTAGAAAATTCCTTTTATCCGGTTATCTTCTTTCTGGGGATCTATAGTTTTGAATAGAAGAAAATAAATTATGAAAAAGTTCTAAAGCGTCATCCGTATTTTCAACAGTTCAACAGGGTTCTCAGCAATTTCAAAATTTTTAGACTATTTCGTAAAGGCGTGCAGTAATAAAACATCTCAAAGAAACTTCCACAGGTTGCTGTAATACTCTTTAAAAAACTTCTGGATTAATCCTGCTTCTTGTTTTTGTTGAATCGAACTTGCTAACGTTTCGCCAATCATCCTATTAGCTGTTGAAACAATTTTCAATCAAGCTCTGAAGAAGCCAACAGAATGATGAGATCCAGAAGTTTTGTAAATAGTAATAATATCTCATTAGGTATGCTGCAAAGGGCTACTAGGAGTGTGAGTCTCTTAAACTGTTTGGCATTGATTTTATTGCAAGTTTCTTTCTTTTTAACGGGTGTAGGTAGTACTTTTGGTCGTCCATTCTCACTAGTACTGAAAATGGTGTGCCAAAGGAATCACAGTAGGATACTCGTAAGAAAGAAAAACATTTATTTTAACAGAATAAAAATTAGGCATTATGTAAATGCTTAATATTAGATATCCTTATTTTCGATTAATCATTGTAAAAAAACACGTCAATATAGGAACTGCCAACTTTTCTCGGCCTTATAATTAATTTTGAAAAAGTATTTTCTTGCCCAACGTTTAGTTAATATTCAAATTTATAACACAACTTACAAAAAACACAAACCGCAGTATTCTGACAGAAACTCAAGAATGTCTGAATTCTATTCTATTCTATTCTGAATTCTATTCTTAGAACTCTATTTCCATCAGCTACAAACAATTACACTAAAGATTCGAAATAATGTTCTTCTATTGCCTAAAGATCCTCTTTAGAACATCAGATTTCTTAACTGTCGCGAACCACAGACATTTACGATAGTTTATTCACTTGTTTGGGAGCGCTTGGTTGTTTTCGATATATTTTAACAATGGATTTTCATTATAAAATTTTCCTTTAAATTTTGCACAGTCTTGAAAAGGTAAAAATATTGACACTCACATGTTGCCTGCTGCCCGTGCAAAGTCGGATATAAAGACCCTTTTCAAAACTTTTCTAGAGTGATGCGTAAAAATCTCGGCAGATTTTTAATAAATTTGGTACGAGAACATTGTTAATTTATCGTTTATCTTTTTGAGATATTTCTTTTTGAAAATTTTAATTGTTGTCAAAGAGGCGTATAGTCCATTTCAGAAAGCCGTTGAGTTACAAAGACTAAGAGTGATCTAAGGAATACTTAAGCCATTTTAGTTGTTATTGCTCATTTATTAAAATCATCATCATCATCAATTTTTCAAAGAAACTTCCGCAGGCTACTGTGATATTATTTACAAAACTTACGGATCCCTCCTGCGCCGCAGGAGTTTTATAAATAGTATAATCAACATCATCTGAGGAAGAGATGCGTCGTTCTGATCGATCAAGCTGTCAGGATTCTATATTTTCTCCTCCTCTTTAATTGCCTGCTTCTGTGGTGTCACAGCAGCTTAAGGTCTTGAATGTAGTTTTGCATTTTGCCGCAAACCCTTTACATAATAAGTCTTAAGCAAGTAAATTATTTCCTGTGATTAAAATATTGTAACAAATGATGATACTTATAGTTTTTGAAATTTTGAATATGCGATGCTACCTAATACCATCTCAATGAACAATTCGCCTGTGTGTACATATAGTTTGTTCGCAATAAGCAATGATGTTATTCTGATCATCATAGTTCATTTTCTTATGTCAAAGTCAGTGCTAACCACATGAATCAGCCACTGTCGCAGTATTGATTATATAATTGTGGACAGAATAGTCATGCTGCAGGCCGTAGTCTCTTGTAATCGATCGATATGTCAGGTTGTTAATTTAAACTCGAGTCTCATACTAATTAAAATTGCAATGACAAAGGGATGAATTATTAGGACTTATCTTTTTTTCGTTATTATTATTACGTATTCCTAATAGAATCACAGGTTTTCAGTCCGCTTTTCATACTATTTGATTTTTAGGAGAGTTAGCAGCCAGAGCAACAGCAGCAACTATGGATTCGGACTTGGCCTCCCTAATACCGGCTGATCTGGTACCATTGCCGGGTACCAACGCAACGGACGTTGGGTCCCAAATCAGGGAAGCATACGTTGGTCCGAATGGCACATTCGGCGAACATTTGGGTGCCGTTATAGAAGCAAGTGTAAATTATCGATACTTATGGAATGTGTAGGTGCACGAAAGCTTCAAAAAAGCCGAAACTGGTTTTAGTTGATTTTAAATTGAAATTGAATAGGAAATCGGTAACACTGAATTTTTGGAAAATACTTACGGTCGTATATCAATTTTATCTAGCTACTGTAACACTATTTATGCTCACGTTTCACCTAATCATCCTGTTAGCTTCTTCAGTCATCTTAATTGAAATAATTGGTTCGTTTAACTCTGTGCCTGCTTATATACTGTTCGAAAGATGCGGAGCTAAATGAACATCGTCTCGGATGAGTCGCGGTTAAGATTGAATTGGTTTATTAGAATTTTTTTAGTTCTCGGAGTTCTCCTTTTTAGAAGGATTGAAGGCATGCATGGTTGAATAAGATTTGATGTGCGGTTTCATGATAATGTTCGCCAACTGCTGACGAGTATATTTGTCTTAAGATTCTTTTATATTCCTTTAGCCGATATTTTTCGTCCTCAGGGTCGACATTGAAAAAAAAAAATGTTTCACGGGAGAATTGCCTTGCCCGGCTAGCAACCCGTGCTCCCTAAGGGAATTCGTACCAATTAATATAAAAAGAATATATAAAAAAAGCATACAAATTTAGGTGCTATCCAAGCATCTTCTGTCTACGCTACGAGATAGAGTGAGGGTGGCAAAAAGAAAGAAGTAACGTACGGGGACCTTTGGTTTATTAAATTCGACAGGAAAAAAAACCACTAGTTTTATCACAGCTGGGTAGACGTCGCTGGAGATCTTTACATTTAAAAAAATAATAATAAACAACAAATATGAACAAAAGGAAAATCCAAATGATGTTTGGAGAGGCGCTTACGAACGAAGGAAACAAAAGAAAATAATGGCAGCATCATTTAGTGCACAATTATTAGGCGTAATTAAACCTTCAATTATTCTATGATATTATGTGCTGCGCGCCTTGAAAAAAAGAGCAGTTCCTATAGATTAAGCGCTCTCTTTTCTACAGTACAGTCCCGTATTCACTACCTCACAGGTAGGTGAGATGCAGATCTCTGGCAGTACAAAGTCTAGTGATGGCGGCGCGGGATCCGAGCAGATTATTCGGGATCATAGACAACACGTGGTAAAGGAGACCGCTCGCCACCAAGGCAGAACAGGAATGTGAGCAGTAAGAACAGCAAAATGGCGACGAAGAAGGAACACAAAAAAAACCTCCAATCCGGAGGGTTCTTCAAAAATAAGTGGTCGAAGGTAAAGTTAGCGGAAACGTGCTTCAACAAAATCCCACAAAAGTGGACTAGGAAACCAAATACGGGCACCACAATCTGCCCAGCCACAACCAGGTCCCTAATTTATTATTTCCCGGGAGAAACAGATCCTCAACGGGAGTCGATTTCTTCCCTGGAAAACCAAAAGCACGAAAACTTCCGCTCGCTCACTATACACGCACCATCTGATAAGGAAGACCATTCCATCGACTCCTTTTATACGCTCAATACGTCCCATGCACAGCAAACGAAAACTACAACAATTATCATTATAGTATATATATCAAAAAATCGGGCAGCACCCGGTAACAAAGTCAGAACTCCATGTGGATCGATCAATACGAGTGGTGAATCTTGTATCGCGTGTGTTGGGCTTAAGAAGTTCAGAAGGGTTCGCAAGGTCACAAGGTTCCGTATTGCTATAACTCAAAGGCGTATTGTTACGGTAGGTCAAGGATGTGACGTCAGCGTCCAGAACTTATGCAAAATTCAAAAGTTGGTGTGCGAACGGAAAGGCAGTGAAGTTCAAATCAAGTTAAAGAGGTGTAAGACATTACAAATACCTATTTGATGAAGATAGTGATTTTCGAAATGCAGCCGCACTTGGAACCTGAGACAAAGCAATAAATGACAAAACGGACTTTCGGGGGCGCCACATTGTGTTTACATTTGTTGAATAAGAAAATATATATTTCAGTAACGAAGTAACTTTCCATCATATGAACTGCAAATCAGAAGAATACTGAACAAAAGGTAGATGGAGGTAAGCCTTGGGCCCAAAAGTAATAAATAATTGATGATTTTATCTACTAATCCACGGCTTTAGCTATAGATCTGATAACCCGACCATCGATTTTAGGGACTCTCTAGGGACACACAGATACAAACTATAGAAAGGATAGCCCTCTCGTAGCCCTTCACTGATCCTAGAATGATAACAGTAACCTTTGATCTAAAACGCGGAATATTGTTACACATAAGGCCGAGAAAACGTTAGCACACAACTAAAGTACTTTAGAGACAACTAATCATACGGGAATCTTGGAGTTCGGAAAGACCCGAGGAAAGAAACGGTACTTCTAATTGAACCTTGTCTGGTTGGTTCCAAATTTGCCCGGCGGATTCATCATTTGTTATTAAATTAAGTGCTATATCCACATTATGATGCATATTTTGGAATAAAATTTCGAAAAATTGTGGCGTCTTCCCTTTCCTTTGGTATTGATGCTTTTCTGTTCCCCTTCTTATTGTTATTATTAAACGCGGAGTTGTACGAAGTTTTTAAAGCAATTTTACCATTTATCCATCCACTATGAGACTGATTCAGTAAATTGCATGAGATAATTTCAATAACGCATGCTCAGGTCGTTTCACTTTGGCGTTGCCTTTTTTTCGATAGGACTTTCTAAAAATAAAGCTAGTTGTCTTTAAATTTTTAGTAAAAACCCAAATTAAGCTTGTGGACGTTAGTGTTACAAAAATGACGGTGCGGCTTAGTCTATGAAATGTAATTAATTCCTTTTTGTATAAATATGTCGTAGCAGCCCAAGATGTAACAATTTTACCGTACTTATGGACTTTCATTATCCTAATACCAGATAATGGTTGCAGACAAATAGTGCCCCATTTGTATCTAGAAATCGTCTAACCTTATTAAAGAGGAAAGCGTTCGTTGATTGATGGGAGGCGGAAAATGAAGAACATTTAAGAAAAATAATGATCTACGCAAAATTTGAAAATCTGAATCAGCTACACTAATTTTTGCCACAAAACTTTTGTTTTGTATGTTGTTGGAGTATATCCGCCTTCAAATTTGTAGTATTAATTGGAACTGATTATAAAGCAATTTTTAAATAATTACACAAACGCGTTGCCTTTCAAAACAATAAAGTGTATTACAAAAATGTATTTTCAGATAACTAGCGACCAGCTGTTCGTGAGATCAACGTTGAAACAGGCCGAAATTCAGTCAAATTTCGCTCCCGTATACGTTTATCAATTTTCCTTCGCAGGTTCACTAAACTCTCTTCCCAGCATCGAAGGTAACCATTTCAAAGCTAGATTTCCAGAGGTTGTGATAATTAAAATTTGCTTCAGGTGCCGGAAGAGCGGGTCACGTAGAAGATACGCTATACCTTTTTAGCTTCACTCCTTTGGTCGCGGACCGTGACATCTTGATCAGCAAGCAGATTGTGAAGCTCTGGGCTAATTTTGCAAAAACATTGTAAGTGCCATGTTCTTAGCGGAGCAAGTCTCCTGTGGTAATACTTTTTGTAAAATTGAAATTTGTGGTGACTTCATTTTTTGTCTTAGTCTTGTGGAGTTATTTATATAATTTGTCCAGTTTTTTAAGAAACTCTTAATAACTCAAAGTACTTCAGATTTCTTCGCTATTATTCTTTCCTGGAGTCCACTAAAATTAAGCAAGTCAAACAAATATGGGAAACGACATGTTTTTCCTACGTATAAGAAATTTCAAATACTGTTTGTCTTTTATTATTAACTATGTATAAAATCTCGAGATACGTCATATGCTATTAGAGCTACTTATGCCTATGTTAATTTTATGGTTAGTTTCTAGTTTTTTTGTTAATCAAATATTGTTTGTGGCCCTTAATCTATATATAGGTCTTTATTTAAACTCATCAAGAAAAATGTCAGAAAGTGAAGAACAAGAAATTAAGATATCAAAGTTACTGTTAGCTAGTTTTTATATATAAAATAATATCAACTATTTAATTTTTCGTGTTGGTACTTTCAGGAATCCTACACCTGACCCAGCGGATCCACTATTCAACCTCACGTGGCCACAAGTTTCACCGAACAATATTCAGTATTTAGATTTCGATGATGAGATCGCGGTGAAACCGAACAGAAAGGAAAAGCAAATGGCCATGTGGAATGACGTTTACTACACGTACGGTCAGCAGCCTTTTCCTGGATTTTAAAATAGTTTTGATTTTGAATGAGATTATTAACATGTGAATTTTGGTACTACTAAATAAAATCTGAAGCAAGCAACCTACCCTTATTTAGTTCCTATATAAACAGTATTTTTAACTCTAATTTTGTGACTCGGAGCTGTGATCGCGAATCAAAGAAGTCAGTTGGTAATGTCTGTTGTGTAATAATCGAGCGACCAGTAAAAGTTTAGAGAATTTCACGTATTAATTGATTTATTGCGAATAACATTAAATGAATACAATCGTAGGTTCTGTGTATCGCTGTTGTTATTCCACCGGCGGGAGCTGAGAGGCCAGTTATCCTGTCCAGTTGTATTGGGGCAAGGTCGGTCGACACAATTAATAGACTGGACACCTGGCGACTAATTTGAAGTTAGTCACAGTTTCAAAAGAAATAATGTTTCGATTAGAAAATTAGTCTTGATTCAGTAAAACACAGCACTTAATCACCGGTCGTTTCAGGACAACTGAAATTGTTTGAACAGCAACATTCCGTGTACCTACCTACATCTATACTGGGATACAGTTGAACGTATCTTCCACGTTTTCACTCCAAGGGTTTACTGTTTTATGATCACTAGGGATCCAGTTTTACTCGCTGCTGAAGCTCAGATATATATTCTTTGGACTATCTCCACCGAAAAAGTTGAAAAAGTTTCTGCATGCACTGAAATCCTGAGAGAATGCTCTCCTTCAATTTGGTGAAATCGCAGACTGGTATGGTGTTAAGACCTTGGAGCATAAGCTAAAGTAGCATTGAATTTAAACATGCCGTTGTAGAGGGCTATGCAAAGTTGTTCCGAATTTAGAGACGCGTAGCCAATTACTCGTTTTAGGTGCGATTTTACCGATTTAATACCGGCCTTCTAAATACCTCCAAAAGGGAGGTGGAAAGAATTTCTATTCATTCATTATTAGCCTTAAAGAATTTTCGCCTTTTGCGACTACAAAAGTAGTCATGGTCAGATAATATTTGCAAGAATTTGAAGCTAAGTCAAAAACAAGCTCAAAATTGCCTTTGTAGTCATGCAAACAAATAGTATTTCTTTATTTTTTTCTGTTTTGTTTTGTTTTTTTTTTTGCTTTCTACCTTGAAGTAAGGAAATGTCCAGCAAAATCCACACCAAATAGAAAAGGGACAAACGTGTGGCAGGCAAATATCCCATGATATATTGTTCGGGTTTGACATTGAAACGAAAACATCGTATGTTTCGCTTATTGTAAGTAAAAAGATTGTGGTCCAGCATGCAATAAGGCAAGGTGCTCTAAAGTAGAGTAGAAGAATAATGGTAATACGAAAGAGCGTTTTATAAAGGAATCATCAGTCGTTACGTTAAAGACAAAAAATTTCTATAAAAAGAAAAGAAATCATTGGAATTCTAAGAACTATCAAAATAAACAATTTTACAAGAAAAACTCTATATAGACAACTCCATCGTAAGTACCAAAGTTTCATACTTCAACCATTCGTCTGTAATGATTCGCTTTAGTTTGTGAAAGTGTGATATATATCGAATGATGATGACAAGTACATCGTTTATTAATAATAGTTTTTCTTTCTAGAGAGATCCGGAAAATTTAACATCTCAGTTCTACAGAAAATCAGGATGTCACTTTTTTTTTAAATTAGAAATTGAAAACAGATGTATCAGTTTAAAGAACAATGAAATAATAAAATTAAACAAAAGTTTTATAAAGATCAATTAGTAAAGCAACGAATAGGTCAAAGTAAATTCAGTTAACCGGAGAGTAGGGGTGGATTATAGGGCCCCACTGGTCTGCGACGGAATGTACCAGAATTCCCCCTGTGTGGTTTTGGGCTTGCGTTATACACCTGTGACTGCAATTTATAATAAAAAATAAGAGACAGGGAAAAGTAAAACAACAACAAAAAATTATCGACAGGACTAGCTGACAGCTCTGTCTTACGGTGTAGGTCGAAAAAAAAAGAGCATAAAAATAATATTTTATTATTTATTGTTGTACCTAAGCGGTTTGTAACAGGGTCGTCGTTAATAACTCGGACGAGACGAGCTCAGGTCTGTCTCGAGATGTAAAACCGCATCTTAAAACCCTAGTTAAAAAAGGCTATTCTAGGTATGTACTTAATGAAACTAAATCAGATATGAGCGCAATTATTTACAAAATCCGAAAATAACACCGATATAGGGAAAGGAAACAGAAATAGATTACCGTTGCACTACTGCAACTAATGAACAAACCGGTCCGATATTTGGTGATTTGTTGAAGACGAATTATTTGATTCTAATGGTTGTCGGGCCGAATATTTCCTTATGGAAGTTGTAGTACCGAAAGGAAAGATAAAGGAAAATTAAATAGCAGCTTACCGATTTTACATCCCTAAAATAGATAAAACTTCCACAAAATTACGAACCTCGAATAATGCTATTAAGTACCGCTGCAGCAAAGATTAACATTGACAATAACGACGCTTATTATGCACGAGGTTTACTTAATCTGGGAAGTCTGGGCAACTTTATCAATATAGACTTAATTAATAAATTGAGAATAAAACCGCAAAGTGCCAATTATTCTTCGGCAAACGCAAAAGTATCAGTCACAATAGGTTCGCTATTTAAAAATTACATGAAAACTATCACGTGTCGTATTCCGAAAATCACAGAAGATATACCAATTCATTCGCTCAATGTCAACCGGTCAACTCTAAGTGATATCAATCTAGTTGATCCGTCGTCATTTAATATACACTGCAAAATTTATATCTTAATAGCTGTTGATTTATTCTACAAGATGTTATTTCTGGAACAAATAAGGTTGCCAAATGCTCCTGTTTTGCAGAACTCACTGTTTGGTTACGTTTCCGGCGCAGAATTTAATCACTATTTCAATCAAGAAAGGTTACTTTCGTATCTATCAATATATAAGTCGATCTAAGATGCGTGGACTATGGACACATGCATACTTTCTATTATCGTGATACCATTCTAGGATATTCTGAAGCTTCTAGGCTAATCAAAAACTATAGCATTGAAAGGATTTTATGCTCTTGAGAAAGGTCTAGATAACAATTCAACTTTAAAATAAGATTATCCGGATTTTATGATCGAATATCAGGATTTAGATTACATGACTAAAATTGAAAATTACCACCCAAAACAAGACTCTAAATTGCGTTGAGTGTTGATACGTCCAAGTAGCTTTCAGGAAATATATTTTGCAGAGACGATTCACAAAAACCATTAGACTGCTATCGGCTTAACACAGTGACATACGTCCTGGACTCCTTTTCTCCTCAAGACAACCAAGTAATTTTGAACGATTTCGATATCGATAACTGATTGAGTGGAGCAAATAATATTCAAATATTAATTTAATTTCAATAGGAAGTAACTTCTATTCTCGCTAGCGGCGGTTTCTAACTGAGAAAATGACTAACCAATGAAACAAAGCTTTTCAACATACAATAAATAAAAATCTAGACTCAAACATTTTACATTTGGGAAAATATAGTTGCAAGAGGAAAAATAATTCTACATTTTCTAGTAATTTGCTGTGCGCAATGTCGAGACTGACTTCAATAAAAAATAAAGTGACATTTATTAATAAATTTAATAAGAAAAGTTGTCGGTTCTCTTCAAATGGAAAAAATATATGTTGTAATGTGTCAGATTAACAGGAACAGTTATAATGGCTGCAATCTGTTGCTTACTTTTAACCACGCCTGATCCTGATAGAAGTGCCACTTCTCATTTGCTCTATTCCCATAGTTGGCATCATACCTAACTTGTTCACATTTAATACGAGTTTCTTGCAAGGCACTGCACATTGATTTATGGCCTTGTACAATTTTTTTAATTTCGCAATAGTTATTTATACAACCTCTGCAGTTTAACTGAATAATGTTCTCCATAAAATAACTATATTTAGGAAATACTATACATTAAGGACAAATACAAAAACATTGGAATTTGTGTATGGACTGAACATTAATCCTTTATATCGCAGCGGGATTTTGTGTGCATTAATTTGATTAGCAATGTTAGATGGTATATGACGTTTTCGAGAAAGAGAGGAATTCAATCCCTTTCGGCTGATCCTGCAGTATATCTTTTTCGAGCATACGCAAGAAACTGATTTTCTTTCAACTCTTCCGGATCGTGTTTCAACTGATTCTTTGTTTTCAATTAAGACCGGTATTAATTCATCTATTCATGTTCTATTTTCAGTAATAAATGTCGATAACTAACATTAACAGATATGCCGTTTTTACTTACCTTTCCGATAAATGGCTTTTCTTATATATTGTCAAAAAATGCAGTTTTCTAAAACCCACTTATCCTGACTCGGATGTTAATAAAACAACATTAAAAAAAAAGTTGAATTCTGATATGAATAGGAAGATGAACAAGAATATTTTTATTTCGATTTTAAATATCAGTATCAAATAATAAACTAGCTTTCTATTTGGTATATTCGGAATAAATAGGTACTTAGGAACAAATTTCAATTTTTGTTGAGTGAGTTTTCTTTTTTTTATAATTAATTTTTTTTTTTAATATTTTGGTATCGGTTATCACATCACACATAGCTTCATCGCACAGTCGAATCACATGTCAATTTAAAATTATTGTTTCTGTTGGGTGGACGGATTGTAAAGTGGTGGAGATACAATTTCTAATTTCTAATGAGGCTTTGTCAGTCTCGTCTAAAGGATTCCTCTGCAACCTCAGGATTTAATGGTCAAAAACGCCAATATTAGACCCGTGTTTATTTGCCTTCTTAGATTGATAAACTCAGAATATGCCAGAATATCGCATACTTCAAATTCACATTTTATTAGCATGTAATGTATTCAAAATCCAATAATGGGCCGCTGGCCGTAGGTATAATAAACGTCATTCCACATGGCCATTTCCTTTTCCTTTCTGTTTGGTTTCATTGCTAAATCATCATCCAAGTCTAAGTACTGAATACTGGCCCGTGAAACTTTTGTCCATGTCAGGTTCAGTAGCGGATCCATTGAATCGGGAGTGGGATTCCTGAAAGTACCAACGCAGTATGATAGTATCTGAAAAGCACTCGAAAACAAAACTTCAAACGCACGAGTGGGTTTCTTTTGGCCAATGTTCAATGAAAAACGTATTTTAACTTAACAATAAATTGAGCTTTGTTCCTTCAAGACAACTTAATTGTCAATGCTTGTCCATTTCTTCCATATATGTCACATATTTATCAAGCGGACAGTTTAAGAAACGAGTCACTTACAATGTTTTTGCAAAGTTAGTCCAGAGCCTGACGATCCGCTTGCTGAATAAGACGTCTCTCTCTGCGAGCAACGGAGTTAACGGCGAACTGAAAAGGTAGGCGCCTTCAGCTCCGTGACCCGCTATTCCCGTTACTAAAGAAAATTTTACTCATCGCAACCTATCCAAGCCTCTAATGTGTATTGTTACCTGGGGGCAAGTTTATCATTTGGAAGGAAAATTGATAAAGATACACTGGAGTAAAAATTGACTGCATTTCAGCTTGCTTCAACGTTGATTTCACGAACATTCGGTCGCTGGTTAACTGAAAATGCCACGGTATAGTCTCCAATTTTGAAAATAATAAGATAAGTGATGGTTTTCCTTCACTAATATAATTCAACATATTGTCAGCAAATAGAACATGTTTCGGCTAAGCAACCATCCTAAGCAGTAAAATCTGGAACATACCACTGCACAATGTAAGAATGTAAGAATATTAGTGAATAAGAAAAAACAAAAACAGGGGAATTATGTTGTTATAGATTAAAAGTTATAGCAGTAAATAAATTTAACAAACACAGTTCTGTCAAACAGGCGCTTTTTGGTTAGTTAGTTACTTAGCAGTCAAACAAACCCCCCATATGGCGTTTTCAAGTACCCCTTAAATTTCAGGTGCCTTTTCATGCTAAAAATGGATGCGCCTTGCTAGTAGTCTTTTCACGCGCTTCTAAAAACAATTACGAAAATTTCAATTTTCATATTTGGTATTCAAAATTTTATAGCGGGCCATGCAAGAGAATGCCACTTTTATTTAAATTTATTAGCAACACTATATACGTTTTAAATAATTAAGCAACATAACTATAGCAAATCAAATATAATAAATATGGATAGATAGGGATCGGGACGTAAATCTCAAGGAAAGACAAACATCAAATACTGTGTGGTGGAAAATATTTGGTATTCGTTTGATTAGTTTTGGTAAGTTTTGAGATTTCTTAAATTTAAATCTGCAGGGCTTAGTAGAGCGTGTTTTGGAATTAGTCAGTCATTGTAACTTTTTTAACGATTTTTGTATATTACAAATTTTTGCACGAAGTTAAATAATCCCTGATAGGGTAATTCTCAAATCGTTGTTGATAAAAATTACAATAAAATATTTTCATAAAAGAAGTTAGCAATGTCTCAGAAATGATTTTCAAGGTTAATAACAAATATATAAACACAAAATAAATAAATTAATTCAAAAAACTTTTCATGAAACTTCTGGATTCCTCCTGCGTCGGTTTTTGTTGACTCGAACTAGCTAACGTTTCGCCAATCATCCTGTTGGCTTCTACGGACTCCCAACGATTGACAAATCAGGATTACCACTTCTACCTATTGTCAGCACCATTGGTTCTCCAACATATTCTCTAGCAAAATATCTCGCTTCCTTATTATAACCCTTTACAGAGAAAACTGGCAGTTTCGTTCTTAATTCCTTTCACTTCATTGAAAAAATAAAAAGCATTACATTAGATGCACAAGATATTCTGATTAGTTTCGACGTAGAATCCCTCTTTACTAAAGTTCCTATTCCTGAAACTCTCACCATCATTTCAGATTTATTAAAATGCGCAAATCTAGGAACCACCAGTCATCGCGAATATATTAATGGAAGCCTTTGAGAAGAAAGCTCTCGACATCTTCTATCTAAAACCAAAATTATGGATACCCCACGTCGATGATACTTTTAGTATTTGGCCTCATGGTCAGGAATTCCTAGATTTTCTTAGACATTTAAACTCTATACACTCTAACATACGTTTTACCATTAAAATAGAAACTAATAACAACCTCCCATTCTTAGATATTCTTATCAATAGAAAATCAGACCTAACATTGGGTCATAGTGTTTACAGTAAACCTACGCACACAGACCGATACCTTAATGCATTTTCACATTACCATCCGGCTCAAAAATCATCAGTTATCAACTCTCTTGTTTACAGAGTAAGTCATAGTCCTTGAACCCAGAATTAAAACACCTTCACCACAACCTTCCAATAGCAATGAAACCGAAAGCAATTCCACACTTGCAACTATTGTCCTTCCTTATATTCAAAACATCACTGACCAAATATCAAAAGTGCTAAAGAAATATAACGTCGAAACCAGATTTACGACTTGCCCCAAAATCTCTCAACATCTTCGATCCGTCAAATACACAATTCCATTTGAGACACCAGGAGTTTACAGCATTCCATGCCTATGCGGCAAAGAATACATTGGAGAGACCGGACGAAAAATATCAACTAGACTCAAAGAACATGAAAGAGCCTTAAGACTAAGACAAATAAACTCGTCAGCAGTTGCCGAACACAATCACGAAACAGGACATTTTTTTTCGATAAAAATAAAATTCTTGCATGTAATCAATTCTTCTACCAACGGAAAATCCTATAGAAATCTATAAGCAACCTAATAATCTTAGCCGAGACTCAGGTCACCAATATGGGAATCAGTCATCCGAGGCGGTGTTGATGCCTCTAATTTAGCTTCACCGCCCTCGAACAATATATAAGCAGGAACATAGTAAAATGCGAGTCAATTTCAGTCAAGCTCTGAAGAAGTCAACAGGATGATTGGCGAAACGTTAGCAAGTTCGAGTCAAAGAAAATTCGAGTTGTCAAGCAAGGACAGCAATTTTGAAGTGCGAGGATCACTATTACATCAAATATAGCTATTTAACATTTTAGTTAACTTACTTCTAGAACGGCTGCCCAATTTTCACTAAATGACCTATTCGAACCAACGTATGCGTCCTTGATTATGGTCCCGACGTGCGTCGCGTTGATATCCGGCAAAAGTATCAGATCAGAAGGTATTACGTTGGTGACATCCAAATCAAAATTTACTGCCGTTGTGTTGATTATAGGCACTCCTAAAAAAACCGAACTGAATTCTCTTAAATTTAATATAGTATTAATTTGGAATAAATAAAATAAATAAGTAAATAAAATATATAAATAGAAACTTACGGAAGTATTATACAAATTTTGAGTTAAATATGTTTTCACCCTTTTTAAAACAAAAATTATGAAGCAGATAGTTCATTTACCTAAGATGTCCTCAAAAAAAATAGGCAATCATAAGGAAGGAATAATTATTCCACTCAAAGAGTACAGGTACCTCAAATTATACCATTACAACAAATTTTTATGCAAACGAAAATGGTTTTTTATAGGGCAAGAAGTCTGGCTGCTACCAAGATCGCTAAATCGACCTACTCTATTCAGAAAGAGTAAAAAAAAGTGAATTGTAGAGTATGTAGGAGCACTATGTAGCACTTTTTTTTTTGCCCGCCCAGGAAAAAGAGGTTAAATATTTAACAAAAAACAGCAAAAAAATGTCAACACTATCGAAAACTTATGCAAATCGCAAATAAAAATATATTCTCAAGTAATTCAAAGATTTTTCATCTCTATTTTAAAATTGTATTTACCAAAAACAGTTATATTATCGTTTTTTATAGGTATATTTGACAGCAGGAGGTTATGTTTGTAAAGAAGGCCTCTAGTTGATTACGGACCTTACCCGCATTAAAAACAGGTTAAAATTTGGGGTGATTTAATAATAGGTAGATAGATAGATAGTAGTTATATTAAACAAAAGGTTCTTTACTATGAAGCTTCTGGGTTGAAAGTGTACTTAAAAAATGTTATTTAAATAATTCTTAATAAATATATCTTTAATGCATTTTTAGGAACTAAATCTGGAGATTATCACGATGAAATCAGTTTTGATAATAGACAATGGTCCGTATCACAACGTGCCTGTAAAAAGACGTCAAGCAGAAAAATTGAATAAGTTGAATGGCTGAGGGAGGGAAATGTTCCAGTGAGTGAAAAATTAATAAAACCTGAAATTTATGAGATTATTCAAGAAAAGAAATTTAGATTTCTAATCAAGTACAAACTGGATGAGTTATTTGAAAAACACGAGCACAAAGTTCTGCGCTTGCCACCTTACCACCCTGAATTGAATCTCATAGAAAAAATATGGGCCTTGGTTAAAAATTCGGTAGCAAGTAGATGGATGGAAGGCAAAATTTTTCTGAAGTTACTGCATGAAAAAATATAAATTTTTTCGCATTATTGCAAATAAATAAAAACTTTAAGAAATATATTTTGTTTGTGTTTTTATTTGTATTTAACTTCTTTCAAAACAGAACTTTTTTAGTACCTTAGTGTTTTGAGGCATTATTTACATGCTTGTAACATTAAAGATATTTTAGTTAGTTTTAAGATTTTATGGTAGAGCAAATTACCACTGCTGGAGAGAGACAGAAAAGAAAGAGACCATCATGTTCGCAAAGAAAACAATGATTTCAACGTTGCATTTTTTAAAGATCATTTGTTTTTGGGTACATTTTTCTACACTGCCAGCCTCTCCATAACATTTCTTTGGAACTACATGATATGCAAGACGAATTTATTGAACAATATGAGCCTAACCTGTCTCTTTTGCTACTGATATATAAGCGAAAATTGACGCAGTACTTTTTTTTAATTGTATCTCATGATTCTCACTTCAAAGCATTTTAGGAATTACTTGTTAAGTATGGACTTCAAATGCCCACCGAGAAATCTTAACCAGTTGAATATGTGGTCTTAACTATTAACCCGTTTTTTTATTCTCAAATTATTCTGCACGACAGGACGATTTTTTCAATTTTCGAATATAGTTTGTATTTCATTCTTTCTGCGAGTTTAATTTCTAATCCGGTTATAACAACGTGAACGTTAAGTGAATTCTTCTGTTTGATGTAAGGCGTACTATCAAGGTTTTTAACTTACCACCTAGAAGACCATAGAAACTAAGGGATTCCGATGACGTCGTTCCAAGTATCAGGGGAACCTGATTGAAGTTTCCAGATTCCAGTTGGGGAAAACTGAGGTTTGTGACGTAAGCATCTTCATGTTCCACTTCAATGGATATGCCCGACTATAACAAATAACCTAATAAAACATTTTGAGATACCACAATTTTAAACCCTGTGATTGATCATATACCAGTTGTGAATATTACTAAAACAGAGTCAGTTCTCTCTCTCCGATGGAGGTTCTATCATACGAAGCAAAACGATAAAACTCTTGGGCATGTATTTAAATTTTAGCCTTGGACGAGTCATATCAAATTTATTATCAAAATGAATAAGTACTCTTTTATGCTGTGAACACCCTAGAAATTCTGTAAATAGACAGGTTATGTTATTTTTCTTTATGCTAATGTCAACTCCGCACTATTTACATTTTTTTTATTAATATTGTATTCAGGGAGATTACTAGATCAGCAGATATGTAATGCCTATTAAAATCTATGTTCACTTGCCAAGCTCTATTAGGCTTACTGTTAATGAAAGCAAATTTAAAAACACACAAAAAAAAATGGGTAAAACAATAAACTCCTTGTTTTTCCTGAACCACTACAAAAGTGGGTGAATGAGGGAGTCCTGAAGGAGTGCATAAGTTCTGTATCAGTTTCTGTATTTTGCTTTGGGAAGTAACACGTTGATATGGGAATGATTTTTTTTTAAATACCACCATAGAATCTACGATAAGAATACTACATCAATAAATCAATGAATGAATGCGCTAATAAAAAATAACAAAAAGTGTTGACAGGAATGATTTCATCAAGCAAGTCGAATATAAGTCCCACAGTGTCCTTCACAATTTGCTGGCTACTGTGTATTAAAGCTCACAAGATTCCGTACCATGGGATGGTTTAGCAAGGTGTTTTTTGTACTTACACGAGTATTTGCGGCGAATGCCGAAGTCAATACGTCCGCCGGCAGACTTTGTAAAAAATCTCGAATTTCCGCCGTCGTATTTTTCTCGGAAATTGTCGGATCCACATATTTTGCATAGTCGTAAGCGGCTTGCCGGGGGTTGTTTTGATTTATGGTATTTATGTAAGTAAGCGAACAACCGCTTTGACAAATTGCAGCTCTGTACAGTCCAGCGGATTTTGGATTCACAATATGCGCCCCGACTGAAATACCGCCCGCACTTCCGCCAAATATGGTTATTTTCCCTGGATCTCCGCCGAAAAGAGCGATGTTATTCTTAGTCCATTTCATAGCCAGCAATTGGTCTTTCAGCCCTGCGTTGCCCAAAACTACGTCGTCTTGGGTGGACAGAAACCCGTACAATCCCAGCCTATAGTTGGTATAGACGATTATAACGTCATCGTCTAGCAGATAAAATGGTCCAGCTGTTACATCAGATGTACAGCCCATGGTGAAAGCTCCTCCGTATATAAAGAACATTACTGGCATTCCCTCGGTGATCTGGAAACGGGAGGGGTATGTGTCGTACACCAGCAAAGTTGAAGAGAAGTTAAAAATGCGAAAACTGGAACTTGGGGTGCAAGACAAATGAAATGCTAAGTTTGACTTGATTATACAGCATTTAGGACAGATCAATCACTGTCCGTTCGCTTATCTTTATTGATTAAGACTAGTACGCTTCCATAATAAGTTGTTCAATAATGTTCGAGCTCGGTATAGGCGCCCATTAAATGGTACATTTAATACATGAGCGTTGCATTCGTAGTTCCCATAAAAGTAGGCCCACTGTTTTACAAATGCTTATAATTCTATTACTTGATTTCTGAGTCTGTGTTCGACATAACATAATAAGAAAACAATTTATAGATCAGGAGTGACTTCAAGATGTGCTTTAATGACATAATGACATTCAATTAGGATGCCAACTTGTAGGACAACGTTACAATACTGGTGTTCACGAAAAACTTAAATTTCGCCACAATATTATAAAATGTCAGCTATAGCAGGGATATATATATATATATATATATATATATATATATATATATATATATATATATATATATATATATATATATATATAGTGTTCGAAGTGTTTTCGGAGCGCGAGCATTGAAGATGCCAAGTGAGATTTTGGCGAAACGTCTGCAGGATTCCAGTCGGATGCAAGATTTTCAGGATTCCAGTCGGATGCAGGATTCCACTCGGAGTTCAACGAGCGAACGGATGATATCCCGGAATATAGTGTCATCACATTTTTCCATCCGTGAATCAATACATGAGAATATATATATATATATATATATATATATATATATATATATATATATATATATATATATATATATATATATATATATATATATATATATATATATATATAATTTAATTAATTTCGGTAAGAAAATATTTAGTGGCATTTTCTATTCATATTTCTTATTAATTTAATAAATATTATTTATGTCAGGAATAGATAATGTACCTGGCTGGATGTGTATCAATCATAGTTTTGGTTAGTGGATTATTACCGACAATATTTTTTGTCAGTATCTGACTAATAAACCCAGGCAAGCTCTTGAAAAGCTCATAACGAGTTCAATAAAATTAATGTAAGAAAAATGCACAAGAGAGCACTAGTTTTATTAATCAGGAAAATACACCGTAAATCACCAAATTTAGGACGCACTGTACAAATGGCTGCATAGTGTGGTGGCGGTGGTGGTTGTGAAAAAGATTCTCATAACATTTTAAAAAATACGCCCAAGTTAGAAATTATACTACTGCCCAAAATATTTTATGTACTTGCCTTTCTCGCAGGTGTGTATACATTGAGATACAAGCAATCTTCACTGTCCAGGGCATTAGGCCACATCGACATGCAACAGTTTTGTGTTTCGTTAGCCTCCAAGATGCCATCCCATGGCTTAGGAGGTATAGGAGGCTGAAACCAAAAAAAATTATAGCAGGTGCAGACATCGAAATCAAAATAAAAACGCCGGAAACTTAATTAAAATTAGGTTTGCTGCTAGACATTAAGAAAAATTTTCCAGTGTTCAATGGAACAATATGACACAAGTGTAAGTAAACTCTGTAAGGAACATTGCAAAAACGCTCACCTGTGCGTTACGAACCGAGAGGGGCAGCTAATCCGCCGGATACCGTCGTAACACACAAAACTCGTGTCTCAGAATATGCAAAATTGTAATATTTCCAATCCCGTGAATTTCTGTTCTGTGTATCTTCATTGCCTACCTATCTTTTGTGAAGATATTGTTTGTGCGCGAGTTTTTCATCAAAACTGGTAACATTTGAGTTACCAAACTGTAAATTGTATCCGCCTTTTGACTACTTTCAATCATGGAAGGATAACACCAGTCATACAACTTACGGACCCTACCAGCAAGCCTTTCCACCATAAGATGCGGAGTTAATACAAGATGTCGCCAGAATTTTAAGACAGTCAAAACCACCACAACCAAACTTAAACAGAGAAGAGATGCATACACTGAGAAATCTAAACAAAAACCAAAATATCATAATAATGCCAGCAGACAAGGGAAATGCCATTGTCATCATGAATACATCGGATTATAAAGCAAAATTGGAGGATATTTTAAACGAACCAATATACAAACTAGTCACTAGAGATTCCACGACGTATTTGGAAAAAATAACTAAGGCCAAAATTATCGAGTCATCAATAAACGAGGATACAAAAAAGAAACTTACACCCAGGGAAAAATCGAGTTGTTGTCCAAAATTCTACGGGCTCCCAAAGATACGGACGGGGTTCTCCTGCGTCCAATCGTGAGCGCCTTTAACTCACCAGTATGCAAGTTGGAAAAACATCTAGCCAGTGTACTACATCCTATAGTGGAAAAGGCAGAATCCTATGTCAAAAATTCAGAACATTTCACCCAGATTTTAGGTTCTTTCAGGATGGACCAGGACCCCATTACGGCAAGCTTCGATGTCAAATCCCTATACCCGAGTATTCCAGTAGAGGAGGCACTCCTGCTTATAGAAGAAAACTTTCGCAGTACATAATGGATCTGTCAAGACACTGCCTGAAAAATGCTTACTTCATGTACAACGAGAAAATATACCGGCAAGTAGATGGAGCAGCAATGGGATCATCTCTCTCACCTGTGATTGCCAACCTCTTTATGATTTACTTCGAAAAAAAATCAATAGAGAAGGCAAATCTGACGCCAAAACTATGGACAAGATATGTAGGTGTATCTGTTCTATGGCCTTATAGAACTTGAAGAGGATAACAGTCTGCCCTTTCTAGATGTGCACATCACAAGGAGCGAAGATAGACACTTGGAACACACTGCCTATAGAAAACCAACACACACCAATAGATATCTGAACGCTAAGACTCATCACCACCCATCACAGATAGAGGCAGTAGCAAATACATTTATTACTCGGTCCTGCAGACTCACAAACGAGAAGAATAGAGAAGGCGAGCTGAAAATGGTCCAGCTGTTACATCAGATGTACAGCCCATGGTGAAAGCTCCTCCGTATATAAAGAACATTACTGGCATTCCCTCGGTGATCTGGAAACGGGAGGGGTATGTGTCGTACACCAGCAAAGTTGAAGAGAAGTTAAAAATGCGAAAACTGGAACTTGGGGTGCAAGACAAATGAAATGCTAAGTTTGACTTGATTATACAGCATTTAGGACAGATCAATCACTGTCCGTTCGCTTATCTTTATTGATTAAGACTAGTACGCTTCCATAATAAGTTGTTCAATAATGTTCGAGCTCGGTATAGGCGCCCATTAAATGGTACATTTAATACATGAGCGTTGCATTCGTAGTTCCCATAAAAGTAGGCCCACTGTTTTACAAATGCTTATAATTCTATTACTTGATTTCTGAGTCTGTGTTCGACATAACATAATAAGAAAACAATTTATAGATCAGGAGTGACTTCAAGATGTGCTTTAATGACATAATGACATTCAATTAGGATGCCAACTTGTAGGACAACGTTACAATACTGGTGTTCACGAAAAACTTAAATTTCGCCACAATATTATAAAATGTCAGCTATAGCAGGGATATATATATATATATATATATATATATATATATATATATATATATATATATATATATAGTGTTCGAAGTGTTTTCGGAGCGCGAGCATTGAAGATGCCAAGTGAGATTTTGGCGAAACGTCTGCAGGATTCCAGTCGGATGCAAGATTTTCAGGATTCCAGTCGGATGCAGGATTCCAGTCGGAGTTCAACGAGCGAACGGATGATATCCCGGAATATAGTGTCATCACATTTTTCCATCCGTGAATCAATACATGAGAATATATATATATATATATATATATATATATATATATATATATATATATATATATATATATATATATATATATATATATATATATATATATATAATTTAATTAATTTCGGTAAGAAAATATTTAGTGGCATTTTCTATTCATATTTCTTATTAATTTAATAAATATTATTTATGTCAGGAATAGATAATGTACCTGGCTGGATGTGTATCAATCATAGTTTTGGTTAGTGGATTATTACCGACAATATTTTTTGTCAGTATCTGACTAATAAACCCAGGCAAGCTCTTGAAAAGCTCATAACGAGTTCAATAAAATTAATGTAAGAAAAATGCACAAGAGAGCACTAGTTTTATTAATCAGGAAAATACACCGTAAATCACCAAATTTAGGACGCACTGTACAAATGGCTGCATAGTGTGGTGGCGGTGGTGGTTGTGAAAAAGATTCTCATAACATTTTAAAAAATACGCCCAAGTTAGAAATTATACTACTGCCCAAAATATTTTATGTACTTGCCTTTCTCGCAGGTGTGTATACATTGAGATACAAGCAATCTTCACTGTCCAGGGCATTAGGCCACATCGACATGCAACAGTTTTGTGTTTCGTTAGCCTCCAAGATGCCATCCCATGGCTTAGGAGGTATAGGAGGCTGAAACCAAAAAAATTATAGCAGGTGCAGACATCGAAATCAAAATAAAAACGCCGGAAACTTAATTAAAATTAGGTTTGCTGCTAGACATTAAGAAAAATTTTCCAGTGTTCAATGGAACAATATGACACAAGTGTAAGTAAACTCTGTAAGGAACATTGCAAAAACGCTCACCTGTGCGTTACGAACCGAGAGGGGCAGCTAATCCGCCGGATACCGTCGTAACACACAAAACTCGTGTCTCAGAATATGCAAAATTGTAATATTTCCAATCCCGTGAATTTCTGTTCTGTGTATCTTCATTGCCTACCTATCTTTTGTGAAGATATTGTTTGTGCGCGAGTTTTTCATCAAAACTGGTAACATTTGAGTTACCAAACTGTAAATTGTATCCGCCTTTTGACTACTTTCAATCATGGAAGGATAACACCAGTCATACAACTTACGGACCCTACCAGCAAGCCTTTCCACCATAAGATGCGGAGTTAATACAAGATGTCGCCAGAATTTTAAGACAGTCAAAACCACCACAACCAAACTTAAACAGAGAAGAGATGCATACACTGAGAAATCTAAACAAAAACCAAAATATCATAATAATGCCAGCAGACAAGGGAAATGCCATTGTCATCATGAATACATCGGATTATAAAGCAAAATTGGAGGATATTTTAAACGAACCAATATACAAACTAGTCACTAGAGATTCCACGACGTATTTGGAAAAAATAACTAAGGCCAAAATTATCGAGTCATCAATAAACGAGGATACAAAAAAGAAACTTACACCCAGGGAAAAATCGAGTTGTTGTCCAAAATTCTACGGGCTCCCAAAGATACGGACGGGGTTCTCCTGCGTCCAATCGTGAGCGCCTTTAACTCACCAGTATGCAAGTTTGAAAAACATCTAGCCAGTGTACTACATCCTATAGTGGAAAAGGCAGAATCCTATGTCAAAAATTCAGAACATTTCACCCAGATTTTAGGTTCTTTCAGGATGGACCAGGACCCCATTACGGCAAGCTTCGATGTCAAATCCCTATACCCGAGTATTCCAGTAGAGGAGGCACTCCTGCTTATAGAAGAAAACTTTCGCAGTACATAATGGATCTGTCAAGACACTGCCTGAAAAATGCTTACTTCATGTACAACGAGAAAATATACCGGCAAGTAGATGGAGCAGCAATGGGATCATCTCTCTCACCTGTGATTGCCAACCTCTTTATGATTTACTTCGAAAAAAAATCAATAGAGAAGGCAAATCTGACGCCAAAACTATGGACAAGATATGTAGGTGTATCTGTTCTATGGCCTTATAGAACTTGAAGAGGATAACAGTCTGCCCTTTCTAGATGTGCACATCACAAGGAGCGAAGATAGACACTTGGAACACACTGCCTATAGAAAACCAACACACACCAATAGATATCTGAACGCTAAGACTCATCACCACCCATCACAGATAGAGGCAGTAGCAAATACATTTATTACTCGGTCCTGCAGACTCACAAACGAGAAGAATAGAGAAGGCGAGCTGAAGGAAATTAGTTCCTGTCTTCGACAAAATGGATACGAAAGACGCATCATCAGCAAGGCAATCAGCAAACAACAGCAGCCGCAACAGAGAATTCAGGACGAGACCCAACGAAGATCGATCGCTGTCCTACATCAAGGGGGTTACTGGCAAAATCGGCCTAATATTACGGAAGCACGAGATATCAACGGCATACAAACTTGATCATACCACTGGAGCAATACTAAGAAACCCAAAACAAAAAAATACTATATATATATATATATATAAAAAATACTATATATATATATATATATATATATATATATATATATATATATATATATATATATATATATATATATATATATATATATATATATATATATATATATATATATATATATATATATATATATATATATATATATATATATATATATATATATATATATATATATATATATATATATATATATATATATATATATATATATATATATATATATATATATATATATATATATATATATATATATATATATATAAGATGACACTATACTCCGGGATATCATCCGTTCGCTCGTTGAACTCCGACTGGAATCCTGCAGACGTTTCGCCAAAATCTCACTTGGCATCTTCAATGCTCGCGCTCCGAAAACACTTCGAACACTCGGAGCGCGAGCATTGAAGATGCCAAGTGAGATTTTGGCGAAACGTCTGTAGGATTCCAGTCGGATGCAAGATTTGCAGGATTTCAGTCGGATGCAGGATTCCAGCCGGAGTTCAACGAGCGAACGGATGATATCCCGGAATATAGTGTCATCACATTTTTCCATCCGTGAATCAATACGTGAGAATATATATATATATATATATATATATATATATATATATATATATATATATATATATATATATATATATATATATATATATATATATATATATATATATATATATAATTTTTCAAATAAACCTCCACATGCTACTGTAATACTATTCAATCAAATTTGCTGCCGTTTGGCCAGTAATCCTGTTGGCTTCTTAAAAGCTTAACTGAAACTGAACTGAATTGGCGAAACATCAGCAAGTCTGATTAATGATAAAAAAATTTAAGTTTTTAGGGTGTATCAATCATTTAACATTTCTTAAGCTTCGTTGTAGAAAAGACATGTTAAAGATAAGTGAAAATTCCTTTTTCAGCTTGGTTGAAACATTTTTTCGACAGTATTAACGCAAATCTGGATGTGGCACATAGATCACATGCACTCAGCGGGTCAAGAGAAAAAAGTTTCGAAACAATATTTTCTAGAAAACAAATCAACTATTTGTTAGGTACACTTATACTTCTAAAAAGTTCTGTTATCTAGAAATTAGTCACTAATTTCGTCAGAATCTTGAAACCGAGTGTTTGCAAATAGTGAATCAAATCAAATCTCTTATTTGCAGTAATAACCCATACAGGGAGATTCGCCGTATGCAGTATGCAATATTGCAGTTTGTTCAAAAATTCTTTGATATTTAAAACATAGTTTTTCCGGCCCTCCATAGCTTTCTAAACTTTTTTCCAAATTTCTTAAACCTATCTGGAAATCGAATATTTTTATTTTGTTCAATTGTTAGTTATTAACAGCATCGATGATTTTCCTTTGAAGTATGCAAGAACTTTACCAACATACACACAAGTCAGATCATGATAGCATCGATGGTCCAAATTTTAAAATGTTTGGAAACCACTGGTAGATATTTTCAAATGTTTGCGCGGCTTAGCAATTCTATTTGAAACTATCTTGCATCAATGGATGGAAATAATTTCAAACAAGCATTGATTTGTTCAAATACGACACTTATTTTAGAAAACACAATGATTTAAATATTAAACATTCAGTGGCTTGCTTAGCTCCTATTAATATTGGTCCCACATTGAGTCTCAGAAAAAACAAAAATTTCTAAACTCTCTTATAATATCAATAGTTATGACCTAATTTGATGGGAAAAACTTTGAATTTTATAATCAACCAAATTCAATCAATTGCGTCGTATTACGGACAAAATGCGGGAAATAGTATAAATAAACGACATGCCACTTTAGCAATTAATTAACAAAGAAATGAAATCGTTAGCTGATGAGATTTCATCTTATCTTGTACAAAATATATAAAATGAAATGAAATTTATAGCTGTATCCGCAATTGCGAAAAGTAACATGCTTAGATTACTGAGTGTGGTGTTTGTTTCAGTTGCCGTGAGTCACACACATATAACAATAAATGAGTTTCAATTTATCTTTCAAACCTATTGACTTAACTTAACTTAACTTGACTTAAACTAACCAAGAAAATAGTTATTTGTCGAATTATCGCATCATTTGGGAAGATAGTGTGAAGTCTTTGTTTTATTCACAAAAAAATGTGTTTTTTAAGCGAATTTTATATACATCCGTTGTTGTTTCAAGCGAGTTGTGGTTTTAAAAACTACTTTTCGGTTTAAGCTGGCGCAAGAATTAATCGTCGATCTTCCCGATGGTACAATACGAGGATCCGAGATAACCTACCAGAACAAAAGCTATTACGCTTATAGGGGAATTCCCTTTGCAACCCCTCCTCTAGGCAAACTAAGATTCCAGGTGAGGTATCCATAAAGTACTGGTATATTTTTATAACAAGATGGTCTACTAAAGCAATTTTTAGCGAACAAATAACAAATATTTTAGATCAAGCAATATCAATATTTTGCACTACCTTTTAGGAAATATAATATATTCATTTCGACAGGGATAAGAACACCTTTTAATTTTTAATTGCTGGGTAGTTTCACTTGTGATATTTGGGTTGCAAATAAAATTAAACACAAGAATAAAGCACTCTAACTGACATGTAACTCACAGCATCTGTCAGCAACTTAGTAAACGTATTAAACTTAATAAGCAATATTATAAAGTTTACAGTGTGCTTGCTATTAGTGGACAAGAATCTTTAAAAGAGTCTATAGTATAATAATATTGTATCCGTCAAATTTTACTTCCACGCACAGTAAAGTCACCTAGTCCGTTATCGCCAAGCACACAATATAAAGAATTTTATGATAATGGGTCCCATTACAAGCACAAAATACATGTACTAAGAAATCTACATATAGCCTAAGAAGCAAGCTTCAAATTACCTAGGAAAAACAAAGTTGATCTCTGTAAATAGATTGAGAGAAAAAGCTATAAAAATTGGATTTTAATTCCAACGGATAAATTTTCCTAGCTGCAGTGATAAAATTAAATTAACAAAACAATATAACTGATAATTGCCTACCATTATGGGAACCCCGTCACTATCAACCAAAACCATTACCCAATTTCTATAACATTTATTTTAACTATTTTTTCGATTACATTCAACTATGAACAAAAATCTAAAAGGCCCGGAAAATTGCTGCTTTCCAAAATAAATTAATAGCCATAAATTGAAATTCGTAAAAAATATGCCCATTTGGTTTATACAATCATGTTGGCAGCTTTAAGAGCTAAAATTTAGCTGAAAAAGGAATTTTCACTTATCTTTAACATGTCTTTTCTACAACGAAGCTTAAGAAATGTTAAATGATTGATACACCCTAAAAACTTAAATTTTTTTATCATTAATCAGACTTGCTGATGTTTCGCCAATTCAGTTCAGTTTCAGTTAAGCTTTTAAGAAGCCAACAGGATTACTGGCCAAACGGCAGCAAATTTGATTGAATAGTATTACAGTAGCATGTGGAGGTTTATTTGAAAAATTATATATATATATATATATATATATATATATATATATATATATATATATATATATATATATATATATATATATATATATATATATATATATATATATATATATATATATATATATATATATATTCTCACGTATTGATTCACGGATGGAAAAATGTGATGACACTATATTCCGGGATATCATCCGTTCGCTCGTTGAACTCCGGCTGGAATCCTGCATCCGACTGAAATCCTGCAAATCTTGCATCCGACTGGAATCCTGCAGACGTTTCGCCAAAATCTCACTTGGCATCTTCAATGCTCGCGCTCCGAGTGTTCGAAGTGTTTTCGGAGCGCGAGCATTGAAGATGCCAAGTGAGATTTTGGCGAAACGTCTGCAGGATTCCAGTCGGAGTTCAACGAGCGAACGGATGATATCCCGGAGTATAGTGTCATCTTATATATATATATATATATATATATATATATATATATATATATATATATATATATATATATATATATATATATATATATATATAAGATGATACTATACTCCGGGATATCATCCGTTCGCTCGTTGAACTCCGACTGGAATCCTGCAGACGTTTCGCCAAAATCTCACTTGGCATCTTCAATGCTCGCGCTCCGAAAACACTTCGAACACTCGGAGCGCGAGCATTGAAGATGCCAAGTGAGATTTTGGCGAAACGTCTGCAGGATTCCAGTCGGATGCAAGATTTGCAGGATTTCAGTCGGATGCAGGATTCCAGCCGGAGTTCAACGAGCGAACGGATGATATCCCGGAATATAGTGTCATCACATTTTTCCATCCGTGAATCAATACGTGAGAATATATATATATATATATATATATATATATATATATATATATATATATATATATATATATATATATATATATATATATATATATATATATATATATATATATATATATATATAATTTTTCAAATAAACCTCCACATGCTACTGTAATACTATTCAATCAAATTTGCTGCCGTTTGGCCAGTAATCCTGTTGGCTTCTTAAAAGCTTAACTGAAACTGAACTGAATTGGCGAAACATCAGCAAGTCTGATTAATGATAAAAAAATTTAAGTTTTTAGGGTGTATCAATCATTTAACATTTCTTAAGCTTCGTTGTAGAAAAGACATGTTAAAGATAAGTGAAAATTCCTTTTTCAGCTAAATTTTAGCTCTTAAAGCTGCCAACATGATTGTATAAACCAAATGGGCATATTTTTTACGAATTTCAATTTATGGCTATTAATTTATTTTGGAAAGCAGCAATTTTCCGGGCCTTTTAGATTTTTGTTCATAGTTGAATGTAATCGAAAAAATAGTTAAAATAAATGTTATAGAAATTGGGTAATGGTTTTGGTTGATAGTGACGGGGTTCCCATAATGGTAGGCAATTATCAGTTATATTGTTTTGTTAATTTAATTTTATCACTGCAGCTAGGAAAATTTATCCGTTGGAATTAAAATCCAATTTTTATAGCTTTTTCTCTCAATCTATTTACAGAGATCAACTTTGTTTTTCCTAGGTAATTTGAAGCTTGCTTCTTAGGCTATATGTAGATTTCTTAGTACATGTATTTTGTGCTTGTAATGGGACCCATTATCATAAAATTCTTTATATTGTGTGCTTGGCGATAACGGACTAGGTGACTTTACTGTGCGTGGAAGTAAAATTTGACGGATACAATATTATTATACTATAGACTCTTTTAAAGATTCTTGTCCACTAATAGCAAGCACACTGTAAACTTTATAATATTGCTTATTAAGTTTAATACGTTTACTAAGTTGCTGACAGATGCTGTGAGTTACATGTCAGTTAGAGTGCTTTATTCTTGTGTTTAATTTTATTTGCAACCCAAATATCACAAGTGAAACTACCCAGCAATTAAAAATTAAAAGGTGTTCTTATCCCTGTCGAAATGAATATATTATATTTCCTAAAAGGTAGTGCAAAATATTGATATTGCTTGATCTAAAATATTTGTTATTTGTTCGCTAAAAATTGCTTTAGTAGACCATCTTGTTATAAAAATATACCAGTACTTTATGGATACCTCACCTGGAATCTTAGTTTGCCTAGAGGAGGGGTTGCAAAGGGAATTCCCCTATAAGCGTAATAGCTTTTGTTCTGGTAGGTTATCTCGGATCCTCGTATTGTACCATCGGGAAGATCGACGATTAATTCTTGCGCCAGCTTAAACCGAAAAGTAGTTTTTAAAACCACAACTCGCTTGAAACAACAACGGATGTATATAAAATTCGCTTAAAAAACACATTTTTTTTTGAATAAAACAAAGACTTCACACTATCTTCCCAAATGATGCGATAATTCGACAAATAACTATTTTCTTGGTTAGTTTAAGTCAAGTTAAGTTAAGTTAAGTCAATAGGTTTGAAAGATAAATTGAAACTCATTTATTGTTATATGTGTGTGACTCACGGCAACTGAAACAAACACCACACTCAGTAATCTAAGCATGTTACTTTTCGCAATTGCGGATACAGCTATAAATTTCATTTCATTTTATATATTTTGTACAAGATAAGATGAAATCTCATCAGCTAACGATTTCATTTCTTTGTTAATTAATTGCTAAAGTGGCATGTCGTTTATTTATACTATTTCCCGCATTTTGTCCGTAATACGACGCAATTGATTGAATTTGGTTGATTATAAAATTCAAAGTTTTTCCCATCAAATTAGGTCATAACTATTGATATTATAAGAGAGTTTAGAAATTTTTGTTTTTTCTGAGACTCAATGTGGGACCAATATTAATAGGAGCTAAGCAAGCCACTGAATGTTTAATATTTAAATCATTGTGTTTTCTAAAATAAGTGTCGTATTTGAACAAATCAATGCTTGTTTGAAATTATTTCCATTAATTGATGCAAGATAGTTTCAAATAGAATTGCTAAGCCGCGCAAGCATTTGAAAATATCTACCAGTGGTTTCCAAACATTTTAAAATTTGGACCATCGATGCTATCATGATCTGACTTGTGTGTATGTTGGTAAAGTTCTTGCATACTTCAAAGGAAAATCATCGATGCTGTTAATAACTAACAATTGAACAAAATAAAAATATTCGATTTCCAGATAGGTTTAAGAAATTTGGAAAAAAGTTTAGAAAGCTATGGAGGGCCGGAAAAACTATGTTTTAAATATCAAAGAATTTTTGAACAAACTGCAATATTGCATACTGCATACGGCGAATCTCCCTGTATGGGTTATTACTGCAAATAAGAGATTTGATTTGATTCACTATTTGCAAACACTCGGTTTCAAGATTCTGACGAAATTAGTGACTAATTTCTAGATAACAGAACTTTTTAGAAGTATAAGTGTACCTAACAAATAGTTGATTTGTTTTCTAGAAAATATTGTTTCGAAACTTTTTTCTCTTGACCCGCTGAGTGCATGTGATCTATGTGCCACATCCAGATTTGCGTTAATACTGTCGAAAAAATGTTTCAACCAAGCTGATATCCGATAAAAATTCCCTTTTTTTATTTTTTATTTATTATTTTCCAAGAAAATTAATCTCCTTGTCTCCATAATATTTGGTAAAAATACATTTGATAAAGACACCTTTCTTTCTTTCCTTTCTCACCATATAGAGACTATTTTGAACTCGCGACCGCTGTGTGCACAGTCGTCCAATGCTAACTACTGAAACCCTTGACTCAAGGGTATTTCCTTACTCTCGAATCCCTTAATAATCCTAGATGACTTGAGCCAGTTAGTATAACGCCTACAGAGTGATTTCTAGAAGTGGGCACAGCCATCGTCTGTTATTAATTGAAGCTCTTTGAAGGTTACTTTGCAGAGATCATCAGATGGAGCTGATATAGAACGAAGAGTAAAGGAATTGAGGAAAATTGAATCTTGCAAAGATGTTTTTCTCTTATGGCACGCCTTAGCAAACTGAAGAATATAGGTCCCTGCGAGCAACATTAACATATCGTTTGAGAAATGGAAATATTAAAATAAAATATGTAAATGGCGTCCCAAAAATTATTAAAGTTAATAACAATTGAAACTAACAACCGTGTATGACAGTGTCTCGAGGTACGGGAATTTGAGTATTTATTATGATTATTAAAACATTAGAGGTTTGAATACGAAGTCTGTGGAGTTCTACAACTCAGTTTGTGGTTGTGACTATTATATAATCGCGGTCACGGAAACCTGGTGACGGGACAATATTCTGACAAGTGAGCTCATTGATGCTAGATACATAGTGATTCGTGCTGATAGAAACCTTGCCGAAATGGAAGTCTCGAAAGGTGGTGGTGTATTACTTGCTGCGAAACGGGAGCTCAGGCCTATGCCGGTTAATATCAGGATATTAGCAGAAATAACACGAAAGTGGATCTGGTTGGTTTTAAATTAAATTTCAACTACTTTCAAATCAATGTTTTATATACCTCCTGGTTTATATCCCTCCTAACATTACTCAGACAGATGGAATGGAATGGAAAGATTGGAATCATGAGTGATTTTAATGTATGAGTGATTTTAATGTTTTGTTTGAGACAGAGTGCGCAAAAAAGCAAAAACAGGAAGCACTCAAGATTTTTTGTATCTTGTTTAATTTTTAGAATTATTACGGTAGAATTATGGACTTAGTCCTTTCTAAGGTAAATGGTAAAGTTTCTAGAGTGATAGAAACAGACGTGCCGATTTTAAGCATCTGTATGTCCGTTTGCTTGAACAGGACTGGTCTGAATTATATGATATGGACGATATAAATGTAACATGTGACAAATTTTATTGCATCTTATCTTATCCTGTCTGGCATACAACTGACATAATTAAACTTGTGAGACGGAAGCATAGACTTTTTAAGAAGTACTGTACAATGAATTACGTTCGAATATTAAGACACAGATTAACATTGCCTATAGCAATTATTTAGGTAAAGTTGAGAATTTTATATCTAATAACCCAAGTGAGTTTCGGTCATTTACTAATTTTAAAAAATCCTCTGTATGGATTCCCGACACTCTTGCATATGGCGAACAGTTTTCCGCTCTTGCCTACTATTTTAGTGGTGCACAATCTGGGGTAAGTCACCAGTGAGCTTTGGACAGGATAGTTCACACCTTAAATTGAGCGATGATTCAGTACTGCAAGCATTGAAAAGGTCAAATAATAAAACTTTCTATGGTCCTGACAGAATACCTTGCTTTTTTATTAGAGATTGTTTAGTTCCATTGCTAAATCCCTTGTCCCTTGTCTTGTCTTTTTAATATTGCACTTAAGACACATTCTTTTCCTAAAAGCCGGAAGGAGGATAGAATAACCCTGGCTTTTAAAAAGGGAAATAACAGTGAAATCCCGAATTACAGGCCGGTGTTTATATTATCACCTTTTGTGAAGGCTTTCGAAAGGCAGCGTAAAATGGTATCTTTAATCAGGTTGAAAATTTGATAGCGGAGCTGCAGCATAGTTTCCTTAACAAACGTAGTACCCTTGGAAATTTGGCATGCTTCGCTTTACCTCTCAACCATTAGCTAATCGACTTCAAGTGGATGCATTATTCACTGACTTCTGGAAAGGTTTGAATAGGGTTGACCATGACATTTTTGTCCAAAAACTTATGGAAATGGAAATCAATGCAAATCTAGTATTGTTCTTTAAGTCGTACTTGACAGACAGAGTTCAGTACGTCGAGGTGGGAGGACATAAGTCCTATGAGTTCATTGCCACAGGTGGGGGAGTAACATTGCCCCCTCTTATTTTCCATTTTTGTTAATGATATAATTATTACTATTTATGCAAAAATTATTGCTATATTTAGAGTTAACAGTTTCGGTTTTGATTCTTTTCTAGGCGACATAAAATTGAAGCGTAGTGTTAGCTCTAAAGATTTGCGAGTTTTATTTGACACTAAGCTTTCGTTTAGTTCGTTTAGTAACCAGATCCATCAAACTTGTAACAATGAGATGAAAATGTTAGGATTCATATTTCGGAATGCTAGTGAGCGAACTTTACTTTGGTTATGTTAGATTTAAGCTGGAGTATGGCAGCAAAAGCATAAGTCATTATATGGCAGCCTATTTTCAATAAATATATTATTCAATAAGAAAATGTTCGAAGGATTTTTTTTTAATATCTCTTAAGTGTGATGGTATGATCATAATGTTCTCTTAAAGGGGTTCGAAACGCCGGCATTAATTAATCGTAAGTACTATGCGTCAGTTCAATTTTTATTTACATTATGTAGATCTCTTATAGACCGCTTTGAATTGTTATCGCATATCGGTTTTTAGGTTACTTCGCGGACAGTCAGAACATCTCCAATATTCCACCTTCCAACTCCCTCAACAAACTTATTGGTCAGAATTCCACTCTTCAAAGCAATGGATATTTTTAATTGTATCAGTAGTGACATAGATATCAATGATCGAACACCGGCTGAGTTTACTTTGTCATTAATTGATGCGTTTCCGGTATTCGGAATTTTCACTTGACCTGGTAACTATACTTAGCGAATTAATGGTCTTATCATTGGATATTATATGTGTTACTTGTTTCAGTTAAGCACGAATCAAAGATCCCTCTTCATTGGAAGTTATTCAGAGTAGTTACTTTACACCCAGGACGAGAGAAGGTGATCAGTGCAGTTATTCTTAAAACCAGCAACGGTCGTGTGCAGAGACCAGTTGTTAAAATATGCCCTCTACCTGACAACTAAGTTAAGCCCTCACTTTCTTTTTCGCCTAGTTATTAAGTTCGGTGCTCGGGAATTATTCAGCAGAGAGTACCTGTAATATTTTCGAGTTGTTGCCGGTAGAATTTCGTCCGTGACACATTAAAATTTATAATTCGCGTGAAGTGATTATTTTAACTTGGTTTTCTTGAGTTCTTGAGTTCTCAATATCGTTCTGGGATCTAGCGGTAGAAGATTTGGAATAGCTTCATTCCATATAGTAAAATGCCCCTTAATGCTGAATGTATAATATTATAAGAGGTTGCGCAAGTAATAAGCCGTTTTCTAATTGCAATTTTTTTGTGGGTTTTTGAAAGCAACTTTATATTTTCTTCTTCGTTATCACTACAAGATCACTAGAAAGATTTTTCTTTAGATTCCAGAATTCGCATATCCATGCCAATAATAATATTGTCTGGTTTGTCTTGTGTGAATGATATCCTGAAGGTCGGTGGTATCAGGCTTACTTCGATTGAAAGTTGAATGTAAATTCCTGATTTTTTCCAGAATTTTTTCCAATAATAGCTGCTACATAAACTAAATTTGTCATTCGACAAATTTAAATATCTTAGTGCCAATATGTTAGGTTACGTTCACTTCGCAGTGTTATAACGCAGATCTTAGAATGCATTTATATTGATATATACTGTTTTACTCTATAAGGCAATTACAAAGAAGTCTAGTATCCAAAGTTAAGTGGTTTATAATGCGGCGCATTCCAATGATATAAAACAATTATTAGCAGCATTAAACACCTTGAATCAT